CACTCGATGGACAACAGCGAATTTCCATAATTTTTGTATCAACTTTTTCATCAAAATAATCGAACACAACGGGTTCGATACTATCTAACAGAGTCTCTGATTATTTTTATGAATGTTCATTCTTACTTGTTGTTTTTTTTTAAATCAGTTACTGCAGTTCAGGTCGATTAAATTTCTACGAAAAATAATAGTTAACTAAACGTCGTATTTGAATGGTCTATTGAAACCTTGAGAAGAGTGGATATTGTTGATCGACGCTGTGAAATTTATCGTTTAATGCGCCGTCTCACATGCCGTAGCCCTGATAAGCAGCCGCCGGTGGTGCGTAGACACCGGGTGCTGCTGGATTACCGTATACTGCTTGTGGTGCATAACCAGGGGCCATCATGCCGGGTCCTGCTGTCAACATCAGTTGGGGCTCTGGCATTATCATTGGCTTGTGCTCCTGGTGGTCGGTCTCCTCGACACGTCTGCTCTCGGCCTCCTCCAATTTGTCGACCTGTTTAGATTTTTCAAAGATAATTATTCCATTTTTGCAAACATTTTCTCGACAACAATGAATTTTATCTTTTTATTTTGTTGCAAATTATTAATAAATTTGCCTCTTCATTTCGATATTGGAGAGATGAAGAGAAGTAGATAATGAAGGAAGGAAATAGTGACTAAAGTAAGTGTTCTTCGGCTAGTCATTAATTAATCTTAATAAAAAAAATAGTCATTAATCAATCTTTTCATGAAGGGGCGAAGAAATCCTAGCTTATGGATAAATAATGACAGTCGAAATGAAAATGGTTGACGTCGAGGAAAGAGGAATAAGAATTTTAGAAGTGATAAAAATACCCTGCACTACTGACAATTTTTGGCCGAAATTTCTGGGATACTTTTTGGAAATTTTTATGACATTTTAGTTGCACCGAAATTTGAAGGAATTTCAACATTGAAAATCTAGAATTTCATGGAGAAATCAATGAGAACTATAAATTTCAGTGCAATTACTCCCTGATAATCAATAGAAATCGGGAGAATTCTGGTGAATGTATTTTTTAATTTTCAATTAATTGAAAATTAAGCGTAATTTGGGACTGAATATTCATGCTCTCATCGAAAATTCAAACAAGTTGAGGTATTTTCTTGTTCTCATATTGCTGAAATATTGGGAATTTTATTGAATTTTTGGTGAAGTCTAGAATTTCATTATTTCTTTCCCTCTAAATCGCGTTTAATGTCACTCTCCTGAAAATTATGAGTCGATTATCCATGAAATTTCAATTTTTTCCTAAAATTGTAGTCAATTTTGAGCGGATTTAAATTTGGTCGATGAAGTTGGCAATTTTTATCAACTTTTTTGCAGTTTTCATTTAGTTAAAACGGATTGTAAAATATTCTGAAGAAATAATTTTCATTGTATTAAAAGTTCACAGCAGACAGTCAAATAATCTTACGCATTGTTCCGCTACTGAACATTCATATTATTCTCAAAATTTCTTGGAAACTAATGGACGTAAAAACAACTTTCTGAAGACAAATGTCAAGTACTTCGCAAAATCACATTCATTGTCACCCACAGCCCTAAACTATTTTCAACAAAAATTAGAGTCAGAGAGTTGAGCATCTACTCTGAAATTTTTCATTACTCCGCAAGTTTTCCTGAAATTAGTGAGTTTAGAGAGAGATATCTAAAAACCTCTCCATACAATTAACAAAAAAATATTCATTTTCATTCCCAGTACCTCCCAAATACTGCCAAAAACCTTCTTTAGCCCCACCACTCCTAAATAAACTCCGTGATAAATTCCCCTAAACTTCCCATCAGAGCTATCTCCACCAAATAATTCTCATCCCCCCCCCCCCTCGCCCTAATTAAAGAACAAAACAACCCCCACAAATTCGACACCAATACCAACCTTGGTGATGTACTCCCTCATGACTTGAATGAGATACGGCATAGCAAAGTGCAGAATCCGATGTCTCCACGCAAGTTCAAGTATAACATCAGGATGCAGTAGATCATAACAATAAAACAGGCAAGCAGCGAAGCAATCCTTGGAGTCCCTCTCCAAGAACCACTCGAGCAATTCCTCCGCGACCTCGGCATTTCTCGACTCAGCGGCATACTCCATAGCATCCCTAAACAATCTGTCCTTCTTGCAAAGTTCAACACTCTGCTTCCACCTGTTGTTCCCTTTGTACAAATAAGCTGCAATTCTCCTGAACTCAATGAGCTCGTGTTTCTCGAGCTGTTGGGCAAGAGCAATATTATCAAAATTGTCAAAGGCATCGATGGACGTCCTGAGCCCCTGGTAGTCCTCCTCATCGATCAGCAGTCCATTCAACGCCTCATTGATCGCCTTGTTATTCAACGCCTGCACAGACCTCAGATAGGGCTTGACAAGCTGAAGATGCCCAGTTCTCGTGAAATAAGCGACTGACCTCGTGTGATCCATTCTCGGCGACAGAACAAGAAGAATATCATTCAAAAGCAGTGGTTTGTATTCAAGATAAAATTGAATGGCTCTGTAATACAACTCGACATTAGCAACTTTAGTGATGACATCCTTGAAGTGTCCCTCCCTCCACGCCTCAGTTGGATGCTGCATCATGGCCAGAACAGCGTTGTCATACTCCTCGTACTTATCATAAAGGAACACAAGCTCAGCCCACAGATGTGCCGACTCAGCGGCTCTCAATACCTTGGGAATATTGACACGCGACCAGAAGAGCTCGAGGTGTTCACGCATCCTCTGTGGCTTGTACTTGCTGTAAAGAATAGCCAGCTCTGTGAACATTCCCATGTGTGCACGCTCGAGGCCAAGTGCTGCCTCCAGCAGATTAATCAGCTCCTCAAAGTGTCCACGATCCTGATAATAATTGATGAGATCCTCGAGCTCATCGGCATGCACGACAATGTGCAGACCACACATCTGGGCCAGACGGAATTCCCCACTGTCCACACAGGCGAAGCACACCTCCTTCCAGGTCCTCGTGGAATTGGCTTTTCTCGCCGAGTCGACAGCCCCCTGGAACTCCTTCAGGTGCACCAGAGTGATCGCCAGTCTCGCGAAATTCGAGACATTGTTGTACAGCAGTTTGGCAGCCTCGTACATTTTATCGTCGAAACACCTGTCCCCAATTTTCTGTATGTCAGCGTGATTGGGCCCAGAGATGAATTCCTCGAGATCGGCGAGTCTGTTGGTGCGTGCATAAGCGTAGATGAGCTCGCTCTCGATGAAGGATTCACGCGCCTTCTTCCTCGCCATCTGGAGGTAGCGCACGAGGTCCTCCCAGTGGGAGGTGCGATGGGCTGTCTCCACTACGTCGATGTAGGCCGATGGATCGTCAGCCTTGATGAAGCTGTCGATTGCCTCCTTAACGAGGCCCTTCTGGAGTTGGGCTCTGGCGAGCTGTGACCAGACTGCGGGCTCGTTGCATCTCTCAGCGAATTCGTAGGCCCTGTCCAGATTGGCCACTTGCTCGATGAGCACCTGAATGGCCGAGGTGTTGACGTCAAACTTCTTGAATATTGCGAAGGCCTCTTCGTACAGCTCGTTGTTGATTGCAATGTTCGCAATGTCTGGGGCGTCGTAGTTGTCCAGACGATTGATGTACTCCATTACACGAGTGCGATCGGCCTTGATTGCTGTGAGAATCAGGAGATTCTGCAGATTGCGGTGATCACTGAAGACCGAACTGTCGAGGACTATTTTTTCCAGGAGTTCGATGAGCTCGTTTGGCAGATCGGCTGTCATGAAGGCCTTCACTGTGACTGAAATGTCCTCGGGGTCTTGGGTTTCGGAGAGGGCTGTCTGCACCACCTGGTCAATCAGTGGACGCTTGTAGGGATTGCTCTCGAGAAGCACTTCGGCCCACAAATCAGGATCTCGCCGTCTAACCAGATATCTGGCTTCACTCTTGAATAAACTGTTCTCATTGCAAACAGCAATCAACTCACGATCACACTGGCCACGCTCGTATGCTATGCACGCCAAATGTGGGTCGCGTTTCTCGCAGTATTTTCCAACCACTCGGCTGTCGTAGAATTGATTCTCCTTCAGGAATCTCTCGGGATTGTTGTTACTGTCGATGTAAATTTTAGCTAGGGCGTTGTGGGTCGCTGGCTCGATGCAGCCCTCGTGGACGCGCGACTCCAGCCAGGGGAGGAGGAGCTTCAGGCGATTGCGTTTTTCAACTTCTTCGACGAGCTCGTCCGTGGAGAATTGCCCTCGCACTACCAGGATTAGGTTTTTTATTATGTCCTCGGAACAGTCGACGTCCAGGAGACCTCCCACCACCACTGGCAGACGTGATGGATTTACCTGGAAGTGGAGTCAATGGGTTATGAGAGCGATTTGGCGGGGATTCGGGGGATTAGTGGATCAATGATTCATTAAGCTGGGGGTGAGGGGATAATGCCATCGGGTGACTTATGGCGGTGGTGTAATTTTGACGTCTGGAGGGGATTTTGAGAGTAATGGGGCGGAGATTCTTTCGTGGGGAAAATAATTTCGGGAGAGGTTTTTTTATATATTTCTTGAGGTAATTGAACGAAATTAGGGGACATGTCAATTTTGTCAAGTGGGGAATTGACATGACAGAGAGGATATTTTCGAAAGATTCTCATCACTGCGTTAAAATCAGTCGTTTCTGGAATGATTGTATAATTAAGTGACTGATGTCACTTTGATCGTGATGAATTTATATAGAGAATGAGGTAACCTGGGGGAAATTGAGAAGAAAGTTTTTCTTTTTTGTTCTGATTTTCCTCATTGCTGGAAGAGCTCTCGTTCCTCAGATGATTGTGTAATTAACAGAGATGTCTTGGCTGATGTCACTTTGATCATTATGAATTTACCTAGATTAATGGGGTGGAGATTTTTTCGTGGGAAAAAGTTCTAGAGTTTCTTTTTAAATCACTTTTTCTTGAGGTAAATTAGTTGCTTAACGTAATTAGTTGACATGTAAATTTTGTCAAGGAATCAACGTGACAAAGAGGATTTTTTCTAAAAATTCTCATCATTGCGTTAAAATCATTCCTCTCTGAAATGAGTGTATAGTTAATAGAGACGTCTTGACTAATGTCACTTTGATCATTGTAAATTTACCTAGAGAATGAGTAAAACCTGGGGCAAATGGAGAAGAAAGTTTGTTTTACAGATTTTCCTTATTGGTGTGGAATTTCTCGTTTCTCAGATGATTGTATGATCAAGAAATGTAATTTCCTATTCTGGAATTTAAGTAGAAACGTAATAACTTGACTAATTTATGGCAATGTTATAATTTTGAAATTGTCTGGAGAGGATTTCGAGAGATAATGGGGTGGAGATTCTATAGTGGGGAAAAAGATTTTTGACGAATTTTTTTTTAAATCACTTCTTCTTGTAATTGAGTAATTGAACGTAATTACTTGACATGTGCAAAGTGTGTTCGTCAAGTGGGAAATTAGCATGATAGAGAGGACTTTTTCGACAGATTTGCATCACTGCATTTTCTGAGATAATTGTATGATTGAAAGAGATGGCGTTTTCTATTTCTGGATCAATTCAGAATGTGATAATTTAACTGGTGTCACTTCGATCATTATGAAGTTATCTAGAGGATGAGTAACACCTGGGGAAAATGAAAGAAGCTTGTTGTACAGAGAATTTGATTGGAACTCATTCTTGAGGTGATTGTATTATTGAACGTAATGACGTCACGTAGTCCAGTTTCATTGACAGTGAAATCATCTGCAGAATGAGTGGGTTTGAGAGGAAATGGAAAAGACTGTTTTTTTGTACAGATTTTCCCCATTGCTATTAAATCTCTCGCTCCGCAGGTGATTGTGTAGTCAAGAGATGTAATTTTATTTTGAGAGAGAGAAGATATTTTTTTTAGAAAATTCCCTCAGCTGCAGAAAAATCCTGAAATTCTGAACTAAAAAAATTTTGAAAAAAGATCTCTCAACACTTTTCCTCTAAAAATTATCTAAAAAATTAAGGAGTTTAAGAGGAAATGCTGAGAGATTGATTGCAGGAAATCTTCTCAATAAAAGGTCTCTCTACAATTTCACTTCAATCCCTCATTTCCAGACGATCGCAAAATTAAAACAGCTTTCGTTTTCTTTTTCTAAATTTATGCAAAACATAATCACTCGTGACTTATTTAAATCTGAGACTTTTAAGGGAGAGAAGATAGTTTTTTGTAGAGAATTTCCTCAGCTGCAGAAAAATGCTGAAATTCTGAACTAAAAGAAATCCAGAAAAACGATCTTCCAACACTTATCCTCTAAAAATTACCTAAAAAATTAACGAGTTTAAGGGGAAATATCGAGACTTTTTCTGTAGGAAATCTTTTCAACAAAAGGTCTCTTTACAATTTCACTTCAATCCCTCATTCCCAGACGATCGCATAATTAAAACAGCTTTAATTTTCTTCAATTCTAAATTTATGTGAAACAATCACTTGTGACTCATTTCAATCATCGAGTTTTGAGGGAGAGAAGATAGTCATTTGTAGAGAATTCCCTCAGCTGCAGAAAAATCCTGAAAAAGTCTCTCAACATTTTTCCTCTCCATTGTTCCCTACCCTGAAAAAAATCATAATCTCCAAAGTAAATCCTTACCTTCTGTACGTAAATCTCGATATACTTCTGCAGATTATTACGGTATAGATACAGAACAAGGTCATGAACAAAATCAAAACGATCGCAAACGATGATAAGGGGCAGTTGATCCGACAATTTAGCTTCTTTCAAGAAGTTCTTAACCCTCTCAGCATTGTAGCAGTGGCTCTCCCGACAGATGCGTTCGACCTCCTTGATCTGTCCGATCTTGCATGCCGCCTGAATGTACTTGAAGTGCACTTCTTGGTCCTGGCTGTAGTTAACAATTGATCCGAGGAAGTAGAACAGACCCTCGTACGACTTGAAGCTCTCGAAAAGATCGATCAGTGCTTTTGTTGTGAGTTGTTCGTGATACTTGGTCGCTATTTGCACGCAGATCTGCAAATTTTGTCGTATATTGGCGGTGAGCATGGCTTTGAGGCACTCCAGTGAGTCCTCGACAGAGAGGGTGCCGAAGAAACCGACGAGCCAATCGCCAGAGAGCAAATGGGTATGTACAACTGCACGTTTTATATCGTAAAGATCAGTGTAATGCTCCAGTGCACGCTGAAGTAGTCCAGCTTTCTCGCACAGTTGAGCGACGTGAGCACGATCGTAATGTGTGAACATTTGATTGCCAAGAATGGCATCAGCAACTTGAGGTGCAGACATGAGATTCATCTCGAGTAGACGAGTCTGCAGGGCTCCCTCGCTGGGACGATTGTTCTTGAGGGCATCCAGGAGAAAGGCTGTGCACTGCTGCACCATATTCTGCTCCATAAAAATGTCCACAATCTGATTGATGTCAGCCAGGGGCTCGTCGTCCTGCACCAGCATTTGAGCAAAAGCAACACCCTGATCTGGATTTATTCTCATGACATTCCGCAGCAGGAATATGTAGTCAGGAGTGTAAGACACCTTCTTGGCGTAGAGTACGATCTTCTGGAATTGTCCAGTCTCAGCGAAACACTGAATCACTTTGTTGGGGACATTTGCTCGCAGGTAGACGCTCAGGGCTAGGGTGGGGTCGGCCTGCTTCACCAGGTCACCCAGCTCCTCGCTGCACTCGAGCTTGTCCTCCTTCAGCCATTTCTCGAGGAGCTGCTTGCGACCTTGGACAAGAACTGGACGACACAGCTCCAGGGACTCGTATTTGTTCAGCTGGCCCTGGTCCAAGAGAATTCCGAAGTACTGGAGGAGGGGTGAGGTTTGACCTTGTGTGGCAGGCACCTGGAATGAGTGGAGACTATTGTGAGGGATGCATTGGTGAAGTGGTTTAATAATTCATTGCGATTGCAAACGGTTTGAGTCGACTTATCTCCCAGCTGAGTGTTTGAGGAATATTTCCGAATCTAAGGGAGATAGCGAAATTTTCGTAATTATAGTTGTTGTAGCTCTCAATCGGCTCTACAAAAAAGGTTTGAAAAATATTTTGCTATCTCCCTTAGATGCCGAGATATTCATTGAAAACTGGTCAATAGTCAAAATTGACTTGTGCCGTTTTACCACTTCGCTACTGATTTAAAGATATTTTGATTTGTTTGGCGTTTTCACGAGGAAAATTTATAAAGTTCATCGAGATTTTGGTCTGTCATTTGTATTTGACGAAACATTGCCCAAAACTCGGTCCTTAAAATGTCTCTTTCAAGTCTGTTTTAATTTAATTGCAGTATAGTTGGGACATTTATTTAATTTGAAATCGGAATTTCCACATGTCTAAACCAATGAACTTTTCAGTAAGTAATCTTCATTTTTCGTTAGTAAATTCACTGATTGAAAATGTCTTTACAAACAAAGTAAGCTCAAATGCATCGAAACCAGGTCAAAGCTGTGGCTAGAAAGAAAGGTTTATAAATAACATTTTCAGTGATATTTAACTATTTTAACTACTGAAATTGATGTTGATTCGATTTATTAGGTTTAATACTGTGACATCGAACTGACGATCAATCTCAATCTTACGGAGATGAAAAACCTCCAAAGCTATTATTTTCTGGAATTAATTGAACTCCAGAGGTTTTGGCATGTTCACTTGACAAAATTAATGAGCTTTTAAGCGAATGGGCATCATTTTTCAGTAGCGTATCTATTCAACAAATGCATTCAGAGGTGATGGGAACGGTATCAATCCAAAATTTCAGCGGAATCTAACAACCTCAATTAACAATTAATAATTAAACTTAATTAAATCAATTTCGTTTTGAATAACATCTCCAAAACCATGATTTTTTAAAAATAAATTGAACCACACGACGAAGTCAATAAACTTTCGAGAAAATACCCACTATTTTTCACATAGAATATCTGAACATACAAATTAAGCCCAAGTGCATTGAAATCAGGTTAAAACTGACTAAAAAAAGTTTCATAAGTAAAATGTTCTGCAATACTTCGCAATCTCAACAATTAACAATTAATGTTATTTGAATAACATTAATTAATTAATGTTTTCTGAATAATTATGTCTTTGAAGCCATAATTATTCAAAAATCAATTGAACCCAGAGCCTCAATCAGTTCCCCACGACAAAATCAATAATCATTCGAGCCAGTAATCATCATTTCCCATTACTCCATCCATCCAACAACAATTCAAATCTCAGGGGATTGTCCCTACCATGTTGATGATTTTGGTTACCACATGCATAATACAGTGGCCAAAAAATATGTGAGCTTTTTTTGAAAATTCCAATCAATAATTTTTCCAGCTGTCAATAGTAAAAACACTAACATTGTATGATGCAAATTGTAGGCCATCATACAATACTAAACTACAATTTGTTTTCAATGTTCTTGATCACTCACCCCTTATCCCTAACAAACCCTCCCTCCCCCCCTTCGATAAGCTGTCTTCCCTCAAGAGTAACAATTCCCCTCCCCTCCCCGCCAAACATCCTTAATTAAATAAAAACTGACCTGCTGAAATCGTTGAATAGTAGCGGGTGTTCTCAAAATCCCCTTAGGCGCATTAGCAGCGACCTTAGCAGCCTCGGCATACTGTCCATTCTGGAAAAGCATGTTGAATTTCCTCACAAAAAGATCCTCAGCCCCGGACAGATTATTCCTAACAGCCATCCTCAGCGCCAGCTCTGGATTCTGTAGAACCCCATTGATATAAGGTATGATGTTCTCCTCCTCGACCGAAACCGAGAGCACCTGTCCCTTGCGATTGACCCCGATGATGCCCCCGGACGCCTCGTGCGGTGCAGTGACGAAGATCGTCTCCCCGGAGATGCGATTCATGAATATACACGTGGCAGACTCAATATCGTACATGTGAATGTACCCATACTTGGTGATGAGATAAATGACATCGTACTTGGAGCTGACTTGCATGGCGACTGGAAAGTCGCTGCCAGCCTCTGGTGGGAAGAAAACATCGACAGCCTTCTTGGGAAAGGCTGTGTTGCCAGCTGGTGGCTGTCCCACCTCGATTATGTGAAGTTTAGCCCCCTGAACAGTTCTCACAGCGAAGCAGAAGAGATTGCTGGGCTCGGCATTTCCCTCCATTTTGAACTGTGCGAATGACGCAGCATGTCCCTCAATAGGCTGCGAACACTTTCGTTCGACAGAGTAGAGATGCATGGCCCCAACAACGCGATTGTGCTGGGCAGATATGCCTATCAACAGCAGCCACGTCTGTTTGGGATCAGTGCGATAATTGATAATCTGACAGCCATTCAGCGAGGCGTGCCTGTCGAACATCTTCTGAGGGGTCGAATCGCCCTCCATTGACCAGTGGTAGACAGACTGCTCTGTCACGAGGGCCAGGGTATTCGGCGATATCCACTTCCAGAAGACAACCTCCTCGGTCATCGTGTGGGCCTTCATCTTCGATTTCATCTCAATGTTGAATATCTGGAGGGTCTTCTGCGCCTTCAGGGCTATTACTTTGCTCGCTGGGTTCATTATTGCTGAATCGGCGGATATTGGCCTTCTTATTGGATTCGCCGAGTCGTTCATGTCGATGATAACAACCTGCGATGTGTCCCCAACTTTTTCACGCACGCAGATGAATTTGTCAGACTCCATCGTGAGGGTGTTGAAGCTGACATTGTTGGCGTTTATGCCGACAGCTGTGAGCTGGAAAAATTAATTTTTTTCTGTGAATAATGGGAATTAGCGCTGGATTATTTACGCTGGGGTACGAATTCACGAGGGTCTTGGTATTTTTTATGGGCGGCCACGAGTAATCAATAGCTCCTGATAAAAATATTAATATCAAATCGATTGGGGCGCTTATCACGGGCTCCACGAGTCAACGAGCACACTGAGAGGAAAACAGTGGAGGTCTTAAAAAAGAATTTTGTTGTGCCAAACATGCGAAGCGTGTCGCAGAGATTGGAAATTTTTATTGCTAACATTGATTTAGGGTGAGGCCAATTGCTGGACGGTTGAGGGAAATTCGAGTTTCGTGGTAGGATCTCAAATAAAAGAATCACCTAAATGGGGATGTGATGACTTTCATACCTTCAGGAATGTTTAAATTAGCAGAAAAAATTATTTCAAGTGAAAATAATAAAACAAAGAATAATTAAATTAAGAAATAGTTGAGTGCAGCCGAAATCCCTGATTTTTTTAATTTATTGAATGTCGATCAATAGAAAAAATAGTTGATCACATGATTATACTCCAGTAATATCATTGAAATGTGAAATAATCAGTACAATTTTTGTTTTACTATTTGTGGAATATTCGATGGAAATTGACCTGTTTACCCTATTTATGCTGAAAAGGCATCGTTTTGTATGAATGATCCACCTCTCGAACAAAATATTTCATTGTCTAGAAAGCAGAGCAATTATTCATATTTGAGACTTTCAAATTCGAACCAAACGATTATTTTTTCCCAAACAAGATTGGTTTGGAGCCTTGTTCGTTTTTCTCTCAGTGAAATTCGAGTTTCGTGGTAGAATCTAAAATAAAAGAATCACCTAAATGGGGATGTGATGACTTTCATACCTTCAGGAATGTTTAAATTAGCAGAAAAAATTATTTCAAGTGAAAATAATAAAACAAAGAATAATTAAATTAAGAAATAGTTGAGTGCAGCCGAAATCCCTGATTTTTTTAATTTATTGAATGTCGATCAATAGAAAAAATAGTTGATCACATGATTATACTCCAGTAATATCATTGAAATGTGAAATAATCAGTACAATTTTTGTTTTACTATTTGTGGAATATTCGATGGAAATTGAAATCGTCCAGAAATTGACCTGTTTACCCTATTTATGCTGAAAAGGCATCGTTTTGTATGAATGATCCACCTCTCGAACTAAATATTTCATTGTCTAGAAAGCAGAGCAATTATTCATATTTGAGACGTTCAAATTCGAACCAAACGATTATTTTTTTCCAAACAAGATTGGTTTGGAGCCTTGTTCGTTTTTCTCTCAGTGAAATTCGAGTTTCGTGGTAGAATCTAAAATAAAAGAATCACCTAAAGGCGAAATGACGGCTTCCACACCTTCAAGAATGTTTAAATTACCAGAAAAAAATTATTTGACGTCAAAATATCAAAACAAAGAATAATTAAATTAAGAAATAGTGGAGTGCAGCAAAACCCCATAATTTCTGGACGACTGGGCGATATATTTTTATTTATTAAATGCCAATCAACAGAAAAAGAACTGATCACATGATTATACCCGAGTAATACTATTCAAAGCTGAACTAATCAGTACAATTTCCATTTTATTAATTATGGAATATTCAATGCAGGTTGAAATCATCCAGAATTGGCCTGTTTACCCTAGCATGAAAATCACGGATCACGAATAAAACAATGTTACAAAATTAAATAAAGTAATCATTCGGGGAATGTAGGCGGAGGGGCGTGTGTGCGTGCAGAGTAGACGTGGCCCCCCTCTTTTTTTAAAAACACAAACTAACATTGAATCCAACCATCTCTCCGTGTTCTCATTACACCCAAAGCCCAGTACTCCCAATAACCCCGAGGACAGTTCGGTAATGCCATGAGGATGTTGCACCTTGGATCGATACCCGAGTAATCGACATTCACTCGTGCGGGGGATTTGCAAAAAGCCCCGAGGAATTGAGGATAAATAGGAGTGTCGAGAGTTGGCGAAAGGAGTCAATGGAGGGAGCTGTCAACCTCTACGTCAATTGATAATTTCGTTCCGGATGGCAGTGTGCGAGAAATCAAAAATCCATTTCGTTTCCCTCGGGGATTTTGCTTGTCACAGGGGGAGGCGGGGGGGCCCGACGAGGGAAAATGAGCAGGTGCAGGGGGGAAAATGAGCAGGAAAGGAACGTGGTGAACCACGTCGATGGCGGATGTCGGTCGACGCCGACTCGCCTCCATCTCTCTCTCCCTCACACTTTTCGAGCCCAATCCACTCGCCACAATCATCCATACCGTTTTCCTCACGCCCCTCCGCCCCCTCGTCACTCACTTCTTATCACCATCACAGGGGGGCCAATTGCGAGGGGTCAACCTGGCATTGGGCACTCGATCAATCAGGTCACTTACCTGGAGATGCTCCTGAAACCTTATGGGCAGTAGCTGCGTCATTTTAACGGTGTTTCGATCACTCCCCTGGGGCCCGATGACTTTAGCGAGCTGTTGTTGTGTTACTTCGGGGCTTTTATGGGGTATTGTCCGGTTTTTGAGGGCTCAGTAGACTAGCTACCGTTCGCGGGGCTTTAACGAGTGTCTTTCGAGGCTTTTACGGGTGACAATGATACCGACGTGCTTTAATTCAGTCATCAGCTTCACAAAACCGACTGACGCAAAGAGCGAATGCCGTCACTGCTTGCCGCTGACACCTATCATGGCCGACCAGTGCACGCCCCCCTCTCTCCTTTAGGGAAGAAAGTAGTCCCCGCGATTTGACACTTTTCGGCTTCTTTTTTTGGTTTGGATTTTTTGACTTCGGGAGAGAGGGGCGCGGAACTACGCGGGGAAACGGTGTCATTCAGACTGATGGGGTATTGATTTTTAACGCCGTTGGGGGTTGAGGTGATGGGCTGATGGAATTTGGGCACAGCACAAGCGCATGGATATTACCACTGGCGCTTGCGGCGCCGAGGGAGAGGGGAGATGCTTGAGGTAGTGCTCATCCCCTCTTTGTTAGGGGGGTTGGGGCGAGCGGTTCGCGGCAGCTTTACGGGGGAGTTTTGGGGGAGAATTATTGTGAATGAAGTGGCGGACGCGCGGCGGGAATTCGACGGGGCTGCGGGTGGAGTGAGGAGGTGCGCTGCAGGTGCTTCTGAGGTTTTGAGAATTTTTTTTATGGGAGGATGGGGTGAGGAGATTGCATTGCATGAGTAAGGGAGGTGGGAAAAACGGCCCCTTTTGAGTTTTTTTGGGATAGGGGTGGGTCGGGAAAATGGACACTTGACTTTTTGAAATTTCATGACTTGTTGAATTGGTCGTGAAATGGAATAATCTTATTTTTCAATAGAAAGAACAATTCCTACAATGATTCCTGTTTGTGATGAGATTAGACGGAGCGCAATTGATATATCTGTTTTTGAGTTGTGAATATTTTTAAAAAGTCAAAAGTGGCCATTTTACCACACCCTCCCCTATTTTTAAGTTATAATAATGAGTGAGACAATTTGTTAGGGGTTGGAATTGAATTTTATGGAAGAAGAAGATCGAATATGTAAACAATTCTATTTGATTTCTACTGAACTTTTTACTAGTTTTTGGACGATTCTATTGAAAGAATCAATATCTTCAATATTGAAGATATTGATATTTCTTCTTCTTCTTTTTTCTATCTTCAATAGAAAATATTGTGTAGAAAAAGTATAAAAAATTGATTTTTCGATGCAACTTATTCTGTTGAGATATTTTGTATAGAATTCCCTCGGCTCAAATTTTTCAAGTTTTTTGGTTGATAAGAAGGGAAAAAAAGGAATGAAAAAAACCTGAAAAATTTGAGCCGAAGAAATTCTGTAGAAAATATTTGGAGAGAATAAGTTATCTAGAAAAATCCAAGTTTATTAACTTCTTCGATTGAATATTTTTGATTGAATAAACGCCCTTCTATTCTATATATTGAGATATAACGCGTTCCAATCGAACAAAACTCTCTTTGACATTTTTCTGGTCATTTTAACAATGTTTTTAGGGAAAATTCATTGAATCATGTCTATTTAGATAAAAATGGTTTAATTATCCTGATAGAGGATTAATTCATGACTTAGGAAAATAGTAATCATATCTTCATTTTTGTTCGAGACGATTTAATTCACCTTCATTTTAATTTTCTTTGAATCGCGCGCTTATTGGGCAAGAATCTTGGGCCCTGCTTTATTGTCTTTGGCCTTTGTTAGTTTGTTCTGATAATTTCGATTGTTTTCCTTTTTGTTTCTTTTTCTCTTCGATTCTGAGAAAACAATTAGGTTGGGAAAGAGTATTGTATTTCAACTGTAAATCCCAGAACTCCCTTGCATCATGAATTGTCCGTCATTCGCCTATGTCCAATAAATCTTTACTTACAACAGAAAAGATTTCACAGAAAAAAATTGTAGATTTCGATTTTACTATTCAACTTATTTCGCAAGATTTAATTTTTCCAATTTTTTGTGCTGTAAACTATATTTTAAAATCGTAGCTAATTCTTTAATATTCCCAAGGTCAAACAATTTCCATTATTTAGTCATCAAAAATGAATATTTCAAAAGTAAAAATTTCGCCCAAAACGTAATCTAAATTAAGTTCAAATACAATAATTTAATTATTACATTCAAACTTAATTCAAATGTAACAATTTGATTATTGAAAATCTCTGAATAACTGCTCAGACCTCGGAGAGACTTTGTCATTCATCTGGCTGATGCTTTTGTTTATGATTTCTTCATAATAGACCTGCACTTGGCATTCATCCGAGACGAGTGTTTTATTTATATTCCCCATTCTCCTATTGAAGAAAGCTCAAACGATTGTTTATTTCATGAATATGCGAAAAATTCGTTTATTTCTCTGCATTCCGCCTGTTGGAGAACTGGGGGGAATATTTATGGACGGGTTTTTACTGCGATTATGCATCCCATGAAACAAATTCTTCCACTCGTAATTTCAAGCACCAGCTACGTGGAATTCACAATCACGTGATTGGGAAAAGCGCCTGCGTCGCAACGTGGTAGAGTCAATCATTCAATTCCTGAGTGCTTCAACCAGAAGAGCTCACGAAGAGAATAAAGAGGGAGTGACGGTGAAGATGGAATTTTAATTGCGTTTGGCAATCGATTTTATAGTGCAATTGGAGGAGAGAGGGATTTTACGAATAAATAAACAGTAGTCGTAAAAAAATCATTTATTCATCAGCAGCAGATGCAACGACGTACAATCTATCTGATGATGCATATGTTGCACTTCTGCTAGTGAATAGTCTGTTTTTTTGCTGTCAGGTAGTTGCTTAGTCAAAGAGACCGAAGCCCATGTCATCGTCCTCGGACTCGGATTCCTCTTTGGCGGCCTTCTTGTCTTCTGCAATTTGAAATGTTGAACAGACGGTTCAGTAAACAAGAATACAGTTGAGGGTGTCGTTGAGTTGAAGGGAATTGCTTTGTCAGGTGGAAAAATAGCCATCAGTATTATTCAGACGAAAGATGGTACGGGAATTGTGGTCATCATTTAAATAATTTATTGGATGTAGGGAGAATTGAGGAGTGAAGTGGTGAAATTAAAATTTTTTAAGTATCGTTTTAAGTTTTAAGGAAATATGAGTTTAATCATCATTGTTCCTGAATCTGCAGGATTTTTCGGGGAATATCTCGAGACCTTTGTCCCTAAACCTCAAGTTTTGGGCATTTATGGGAGATTAACTGTAAAGAACTTGTGGAAATCATAAAACTATGGTTTTTCTACAATAATTCACTGAATTGTTCGCCGAATCGTCAGCATCGAATCTTTTAGAATAAAATCTGTCTGATTTTTCTCTATTTCATTCAATATTTTACAGAATCAAGAAGAAAATTAAAGGATTGTTTTTGAGATCTATAACAATCCGGGAGAACTCTGGAATTGTTTCTCTACTACTCTACTCTTTTGACACTTTTCCCAAATTTTCTCCTGAGATATTTTAATTATCAGTATCGAATCATTTAAAATTGAATCTTTCAAAATTAAATCCTTAATAAAATCAAAAATCTAACAATTTTTTATGTACTTGATCAAAATTTCCACACAACTGAATTTTTAAGCAAGGAGGAGACGTCACCCTGTACTCAACTTTGAAAACATTACAAGAGCAATCTCAATAACTTTAGGACTTCATCTTGTTCTCTCCACTACACGAAAGTCTTAAATTGCTTCCATAGCCCTCATAACGCATTGAATTCCTGATTTTTCAATCTACATCCCCCTGAATTTTGTAAACAAGGAGCTGACGTCACTCAGTCTTCAACTTCAAAAACACTTCCAGAGAAATGTGAATAAATTTAGGAAATCATCTTGTTTTTTCCACTCCACTCCAACCCAAAAAAAGTGAAATTTAATGTAAAAATTTACCCTTCTTCTCCTCAGCAGCTGGGGCAGCTCCAGCAGCAGCAGCAGCAGCTGGTGCAGCAGCACCACCACCAACTGGCATGGAGGAGAGTTTCTCACGTCCTGAAAAAGCCAAATAAAATAAATCAGTACCTGCACTCAACTAAACTATTCAACAATCTCCATCAGGAGCAGAATGTTCTCTCACCCTGTGCGATCAAATCTTCGATTGATTTTCCATTGAGCTCAGCAATGATCTTCTTGACTCTCTCAGCGTCCGACTCAATTCCCACCGAGGAGAGGATCTTCTCGATGGCATCCTGGGAAGGTGAGACATTGCCACCAAGGACAGCCAGAAGATAAGCGGCCACGTAACGCATTCTGGGATACCAATGGTGAAAAACAATTGATTAACCTCACATTCATCAATCCCCTGATACCCTCGATATTAACATTTAATCTTCAGGAAATAATTTAACATCACTGCCAATCAGTCGAAAGATGGTGATAAATTGCAATCATCATGAAAAATCCAGTGGATCAATTGAGATTCTCCAATCTCAGTCATAAATAAATTCGAATGAAAGAAAAAAGAATGGAACACACGCCGCTCATGGCGAAGGCCATCCGAGCACGTTTGCACATCCGTAAACATCGCGTTGAATTTAATAAATTTCCACTCCCAAATCATTGATTCAGTAACTTCAAACAATGAACAAACCATTATAATCAATATTTTTAACGATTGATGCTAAATTAATTACTTACTTTTAAGTCGTGGTGACACGAAACGTGGATCACGCTAAAATGTAACAGAACGTTCTCGGCGAAGAAACGAAATGAAAGAGGAAGGCGGCAGCCAACCTAGAGGGGCCACCTCTTCAAAATAATTCTCAGAATGCCCACGATGTTCAGCGCCTCTATTTACCATTCGTGCGGGGTTTTCCGTTCTATCAGTTTATTTATTTCCGGTCGTCGCGGGAAAGAAAACGGGAAAAACTTCGTAAGCGTTAATTGTTTGTTGTTGGAAAGCTCACAACACGAGTGTAGGATAGTTTGTTGAGGAGAGATTGATGTGTAAATAGGTGTTATTTGGTATTTGAGGGGTTTGGGATGGATGGCGATTATTACTCTACAGTTTATGCTTGGTAAGTCGCATTATTTTTCGTAATTGCTCCGAAAACATTGGGATCAGTCGTGCGTCGCTAACGCTTTGCACGACAGTTTTTGGTAATTATCTTTGAATTGGGAGAACAGATGCGCTTCTTCGAAGATTACCGTGATAGATTTCCTTCTGATGTGCAGAAATTTGAACTTGGAATGACGTTTCGTATACTAGATAAATTGTACTCATTTCGACAATGATGTTATACAATTCTCCAAAATTATGCATTCCCAAGATATTCGCAAATTACTAAACACATGTTTTCATTTTTTTCCCCTGCTTTCTTTTAAACATGTGGACTTGAATTCATTCGCCAACAAGCAGCATTTACAGAATCAAATTAACAATTTTTTCGCATTCTCAAAATTATTAACTTTGATGAGTAAAAAAATTCATCAACAACGTTTCGTATACTAAATAAATTGCACTCATTTCGACAATGATGTTATACAATTCTCCAAAATTATGCATTCCCAAGATATTCGCAAATTACTAAACACATGTTTTTTCATTTTTTTCCCCTGCTTTCTTTTAAACATGTGGACTTGAATTCATTCGCCAACAAGCAGCATTTACAGAATCAAATTAACAATTTTTTCGCATTCTCAAAATTATTAACTTTGATGAGTAAAAAAATTCATCAACAACGTTTCGTATACTAAATAAATTGCACTCATTTCGACAATGATGTTATACAATTCTCCAAAATTATGCATTCCCAAGATATTCGCAAATTACTAAACACATGTTTTTTCAGTTTTTTCCCCTGCTTTCTTTTAAACATATGGACTTGAATTCATTCGCCAACAACCAGCATTTGCCGAATCAAATTAACAATTTTTTCGCATTCTCAAAATTATTAAGTTTGATGAGTAAAAAAATTCATCAACAACGTTTCGTATACTAAATAAATTGCACTCATTTCGACAATGATGTTATACAATTCTCCAAAATTATGCATTCCCAAGATATTCGCAAATTACTAAACACATGTTTTTTCAGTTTTTTCCCCTGCTTTCTTTTAAACATATGGACTTGAATTCATTCGCCAACAACCAGCATTTGCAGAATCAAATTAACAATTTTTTCGCATTCTCAAAATTATCAACTTTGATGAATAAAAAAATTCATCAACTACGCCCTTCAATCTTCCTTTTTTCCAGAATATTTCAGTGATTTTTCTGTTTTTGGTGCTATTTTTACCCATCTGACTCTGTACTCTTTGTCAATGTAGTCTATACGGCATTACCATGCCAAAGTTTCATTTATTTTATTTTAATCGATAAGAGGTCGGAGAGAACAAAATGTAAAACTCCGAAAAGGTGTGCAGACAACCAATAGGGGAGCGTGGGGTAAAATGAACACTTGACTCTTTTAAAAATATTCATAACTCAGAAACAGATTTATCAATTGAGCTCAGCCTAAGCTCATCACAAAGAGGAATCATTTTTTTTTCATTTGAAAAATAAAACTATTCCATTTCATGAACAACTCAACACGCCAGGAATATTTTTAAAGAGTCAAAAGTGTCCATTTTACCCTACCCTCCCCTAAATGGAATTCATCACCAATTCTATTACTCTTGCTATGCAACAGGTTCGAAAGATGCGGAATAATATCAAACGTTCGCACTCATCTTCGTCAGAACCTGGTGAATGCCTTGAAAAGTAAAGATATGACACTGAACAAAGCGAATATCGGTCCTAAATCAGCGAAGCAGTACGTCTACGATTTGCTGATAGCGGAGTACCTCTGGAATCACAATTATGCGTACACAGTATCGGTATTCGCCAGCGAAGCCCCTCTGCTCGTCAATTTCCGCAAGCACGTACCGAAGAGTGATGATGAGGCACTGGAAACGACCGACAGAAATAAACTGCAGACTGATTACGTTTGCCATACGCTGGAGACCCTGGGGATCAGCCCAGAGGGGCCTGATGGCCAGGCCATCATCGCTGAGTACGATAGCAATGATATGCCCTTGCTATTATCGATATTGAAATATGTTAGCCAATTTAGCAAGCCAAAGAGTAGTGTTCAGATAGTTAGGGAGGATTTTAAAGTCCCCACCAAAAGCTGCCGGACCCAGACTGATTTTCCTGAAAGCGATGTCACTGCGGAGAGTATTAAAATCGTGGCAGCTAAGAGGAAATTGATCAGGCAGAAGGAGTCGTTTGATAGTGAGCTGAGGGAGAAGGAGGAGGCTCTGAAGCAAAGAGCTTCTCACATTGAACAGCAGATGATGACTTTGGACGAAAAATTGGCACAAGTCCAGGTAAAAATAATGAGTCATTTGTTAATAACGTTGTCCCAGCTGCGATAATGCAGTTGTTGGTATTAAACGTTAAATTTCATTTAGACGAAGATATTTAGATGATCATAACACACGTTTTTTGGAGCTCATAAAAGTTCAGGCATTGGGATAATCACTTTACGTACGAAAACATTTCAGAGATAAATTCGAAGCATTCGATAAGAAATTCTGTTGTTTTCGTCAATTTTATTGAAAAATTTTACACGTTTTTTGCGTGTTTTTAAAAACGTATTTAATTGAAACGTTTAAGAGAAAATTTTTTCTAGAGAAAAAATCCCTAGGTTTGATCTTCTACAACTAATTCTATTGAGATATTTTTTATTGAAATGGTTCGTCTTAGATCATTCAAACTTTTTCACTCCATTTTTTTCATAAGAAAATTCAAGTTAAAAAATGGAAAAATTGAAGGTGAGGAATCTAAGCGAAAGAAGTTACATAGAAAGACGAAAATCTTTCGATTCTTGCGTTGTAACATTTTCATTGGCCATTGCTATTAGGAAAACAGATTCTCACAAAGACTGGAAAATTTTTCCCATAGAATAAATGGAGAAAAAATGTAATTTTCAATGTTGTTCGCGTTTTTTTCAATTTTCCGATTTCTCGATTGAGTTGAACGTGTTATTAAAAAGACAATTTCATCATTTGATCTACCAAATACATGAAGTATTTAACATTTTGGTTTTTATTTTGTCCCAGGGTTTCATGCAAGCTGTAAATTTAAAAGAGAAACAGTTCCATGAAGACAGGAAAGAAGAGGAACGTAGGATGTACAGAAAAGAATTAGAATTGGCTGTGAAGGAGAGTTCACTAGAACGAGAAGCTGAGAGGTAAAATGCATACACAATAATCTTGACTATCTCTGAGACGTAATTCCTCCAGGATTTTACGTTTTTTCTAAAACGAAGATGACTTGTAGCACGAATACCACAACATAATATTACTCTTCTGTTTCCCCTACATAACAGATTGGAAAAGGAACGAGACAGTTACAGACACTTCGAGGCGAATCTGAAAAATCTCCAGGAAGAGTTGATAAAAGTGAAACAAGATCTTCCGAATAAAGAGAACAGAGAGACCAAAGACTCGAGAAAAAGTACAAATGAAGCATCGACGCAGACTGAGAAGTGCAACAATGAGACGAATAAGCAATTGAACGATCAAGAGAAGCGAGAGCTGCAGAATCTCGTCCACGAGCAGAAGCTGAGGATAGAGGAGTTGACGCTGAGAGCAGTGAAGCTGTCAAGACAACTCGAGGAAGCCCAGCTGATAAAATACGCGAATAGTGAAGTTATGAAGGCGATTCCACCAGTTCAGCCCTCGAAGACCGTTCTCAGTGAGAGTAGCTCCACCGACGATATCATTCAGGACGCAAAGCAACGATTAAAGAGGCTGGAGGAAGAGACAATGAAGGCTGACAACTGCTACTTAAACGCAATGATAACTTCGCCCTTATGACGAAGAGTTCACTTTAATCTATCCGAGAATTCCGAGCACCTGTGTGACTGAACAAATTATGTACTACTCGATAATTTCATCAATATTATTTATTCATTAAAAGTGGATTTATCACAGAGAGACTGCACACACAATAATTCACGAGGAATCAGTTTATACTAGAAATTCGTTTCATTTTTTTTCGTTTATTATTGTGTAAAATTGGATTCTTGATGATTTAATATAAAAATTATTTACTATTGAGATTTTATTACTTCTATCATTGTTATTATTATTTTCTTTGAAAGATTTGCTGTTATTACATACAACATTCAAACGTGGGAATATAAAATGTAAGTCAAACTCCGTCAGTTGGTTTACATCATCTTCGTTTGGGATCTGAACTCCTCCTAGTATATTTTTGTTAAGGATAAATCTCATGGTAATTAATTCATTAATTAATTCATTAAAAAATATATCAAACATGAAATAATTCCATGAATGCTGGTTCATGGAATTATTAATTTCATGAACAGTTGACTAGTCATTTTTAGGAGAGTGACATTGAATTCAATTTAGAGGGAAAAAATCATGAAATTTCAGATTGAAAATTTACTGAAATTTCAAGTTTTTTAGCAGCAGGAAGATGCAAAATTGTCTAAATTTTTCTGATTTCTATTAATTTTTATAGAATAATTGCACTATAATTTAGTTTTCTTTGATTTCTCCATTGACTTTTGAATTTTTTAATTACAAAATAGCCAGAAATTTCAGTGAAACTACAATGTGGTAAAATTTAACTTTACCCAATGAATTCGAAATTTTTGAGCAGAAGAAAACCAAGAATGTCGCAGTTTACTTGAATTTTCAATTAATTCAAAATATTTATCTGAATTTTCCTGATTACTATAAATTTTTATAGAACAATTGCACTAAAATTTGTAATTTCCACTAATTTTTCCATTGACTCACAAAATGTCAATGATGAAATGGCCTGAAATTTCAGTGGAACCATAACATGATAAAAATTTCCAACAATGTACGATTGTTATCAATCATTCATTTATAAAAAGGATATTGTTTGTCTCTGCCTTCTCGTCCCTCACGCTCGTGGGTCCTCTCCTTCGTGTAAGGAGACTTTTCCTAAACAAAACAGAAAGAAAAGAAAATAAATACAAACAGAACCCTGGAATTCGTAAATAACGTGAAATTCTCCGAATTTCTGGTTCTACGAACCTTGCTGTAGTGATGTTTCTCTCTGTGCTCAGGGACGTCGCCATTTTGGTGGGTATTTTTTGCTGCAACCAAATTGTATTTATCAAAATACTGGAGTCAGGAGGATGAGGGAGAGAGAAATAATCAAGACAAAATGTACGGAATTCCTTTGCTTGGAGAATTCTGGGAAAATCCGTAAATCTCAGGAGCAAAATAAAAACAATCTTTTATTATCATGAAAACAAAAAAAAAACACTTTCAAAAATTCTTTCTTCTTCAAAAATAGTCAAAGAATAGAAATAATAATCATAATAATAACAATACTGTTTAAAAAATGGCACAGTACAGTAAAAGGGCGTCTAAAAATTCAAATCACCAACCCCGATCATCATCTTTCCTCCGCTTCTGTTCAGCCGCAACGACGACCTCCTCTGCTCGATCCTATAAAAAAAAATTAAGTTAAAAATATATTTACGTCTAATAATTGTGTCGGAACTGAATTAATCAGACTCACCCTCTTACGACCGAGTTTTTTCTCTCGTCTGAGCTCTTTCTGCTCATCTCTAACTTTAGTCTTAGCAGATCTTTCTTTCTTTTCACTTGCAGCCTCAGTACGTCTGCTTTCTTTAGGAATGCTTTCTACTTTTCTCCTCTTGGGCTCTAAAAAATCAATAAACCATTCATCAGATTATGAGGATGAGTGAAATAAATGAATAATTATCAAGAGACGAAAAGTTTTGGATGGATAAAGTTTTGGATGGTAAAAGGTTCAGAGAAGGCTTTTGTGGACAGTTGACTATTTCTGTGATGAATTGGTAAACTAGAATAAGTGCATTTTTTTAACAACAATTTATGGAAGCGATTTGGCAATTTTTTTCAATGCACTTATCCTAGTTTATCAATTCACGACAAAGTTATTTTTGAGGAGAATGACATTGACTTCAATTTAGGGGAAAAAATCGTGAAATTTTAGATTGAAAATTCAAGAAAATTCAACATGTTTGAGCAGCAGAAATATGAGAATTTCGCAACTCACTTGAATTTTCCATTAAAAATTCAAGAATATATTTATCTGAATTTTCTTGATTTCCATCACCTTTCCCCGAAATGAACAAACAATCATCAACAATTATCAAGAAAAAAAAAACGCTCAGAGAAATTCATGAATAACTTTTTTCACGAGAAAAAAGTTATGTGTTCTCCAAAAAACGTCTGATAATCTTCCTCTAAATCCATTATCCCAAAACATCCTCAAAAAAAAATACTTCCAACACTCGTAAAATGAATGATAATACCTCTCTCCGCCTCCTGATTCTGCCCCGAGCTGCTAGCACTACTATTCGAGACACTAGAGAGATCCCTGTCCAAATGATCCACCCCTCCTCCATAATAACTCTCCTCCTTGGACTTCCTCTCCTTCTTCTCACTCCCCTCATCGTCCTTCTCACCCTTCTCCTCCTTCTTGACATGTTTCTCCTTCACCTCGACAACATCCTTGCCCTCCTCCTTCTTCCTCACCTTCTCCACCACCTCATGATTCCCCGAATTATTAGCAGACCTCTTTTCCCTGGCCTCCTTGCTCTCCTTCTCCTTCTCCCTGCTCTCCCCATTGCTGACCCCCTCCTTCGAGCCGATGCCATTGCTGACCTTCTCACTCGTCTCATTGTTCGCCCCCTCCTGGCTCTTGGCAGTCCTGTCATTAACATGATGAAACTCAGCCTCCTTGATCATGTGTGGAGTCTTCGCCTTCAGCTGTCCACTGTACGAAGTCGCCAGCACATGGAGATCCTGCCTCTGTCCCTTCTCCTCCTCCCTCACCTTCTCCACTTTTCTCTCGAGAATCCCCGAGAGTTTAGCAATAACTGGAAATTGCGGAAGAATCTTGATCAAAATGATGAAAGAATTCCTGATTTGCACGTAATCCTTGGAGTCCAGACACACAACAATGGCCTTAGTGATCTTATAATGCCACTTGTGGCACACATGGCGATAATTCTCAAATCCCACCATGTCATTAGCCTCCGAGAACTGATTGCTGACCTTGAATTTGGTAACAAATCCAGGATAATTGCTGCACTCTTTATCAAAAATGGCCTTCTCCGAGTGCCACCTCATGACAGTCTCCAGCATGGCACAGAGAAATCGTCCATAACGATTGGCCTCATTCTCAGTGCAAGAGGTAACCGAGTACGTAATATCACAAAAGAGACGATCGTAGCAGAGGAGAGTGGAGAAGTTGGCTGTTTTCAGGGAGTGAATGGTGTGAACGAATTTGGCGCAGTACATTGCATCGACAGCTGTGAATGTGCACCTTGGGAAGAGGCAGAGTTGGAGGAACTGAGTGATTGTCTCGTTCTTGGCTGATTTGGGGCTGCGAGAGAGGAACCACGAGTCCTTCTCCTGTCTCAGGTAAGCCAGGACCTTCTCGACGTGCTCCTCCTGCTTCTTCTTCTCGTCCTGGAGCTTGTCAATCAGAGTTGTGTAGCGCTCCTGCTCCTTTTTTCCTTTGCTGGCGTTCATGTCCTTCGAGTCAGCAGCCTGCGCTGCCAGCTGCTTCAGTCTGTTGATCTCCCTCTGGTAGCTGTCGACTGGTGTGAAGAGGTCGGACATCGATAGGGACCAGAAGGTCACCAGGAACTGGGGGGATATGTCCTCCCAGACTTTGGGTGGGTGCAGGGGACGAACTGACAGAGCTACTGGGGCCATCACTGCTTGCGCTGCCTCTGCCCATTTCGCTTGTTTTACTGAGGCTGACATTCTCTTATAGTTGGGGTCCACTTTGCGGAGGGCGTCGTACTTTATGTTTATCGCGTGGGCGAACATCGGTCTCGCCAGGAAGAAGGCCACGTCCGCGTGGATGTGATTGTCCTGGAGCATGTTGTGCATCCCGGGGAGACGCTCAACGTACTCGTTCACTGTCATCGTTTGGCCGAGGAAGGTGCCGAATTGCACGAGAGTGTCTTGACACTGGTCGTAGAGCTTGCCCACTAGTTTCAGGTGGGACTTGTCGGTCTCTCGGTAGACCACGCAGTGCTTCTGCTGGGCCATTAGGAGGCAGAGGGCCACTGCCAGGTCGTTCTCTGCTAGGGCCTCTTTCAGACGTTGGGACGACTTCTTTGTGTTTCTTACTTGACTGAAGTAACCAGCCTGCAAATTAGGGGGGAGTTGTGGGAAACTGTGAGTTTTGCTTTATGGAGGATAATACTTTATGGCTACTGGAGTTGGGCTGGGGAAGGTGAGGAGGGTTGGGAGCACGTGGGGATAAATTTCGGGGTGAAATGTGTTTTTTGGAGCTCAGATTGGGAGATTTTTTATTATCAGTTTTGTCAGTTGAGGGGCGTGAGAAATAATTAAATAACTTTATGGATTATCAATGTCATTACCATTACATTTTGATAAAAGTTACTTTTTTTAAATGCCTTATTCTTGATAATTAATGAGGGGAGTTGCTTGAACTTTTAGAAATTAATTTTTTTTCAACCCGAAAAAATCTTGTTCATGAATTACTCATGACAAAAGGTCGTAATCTTCAAGTGGCAATTTGTATCTAATGAATCTTTTCGAAAAAGGATAGGTGGAGTAAAGGGGAACGGTTGTCATTGACACAACATTCGAAAATCGAGATATTAGACTTCCTAATTTTTTAACTTCTTTACATTTGTTTGGCAACCTAGGGCCAAAGGGGTCTGGAAAGAAAGCTCTAATGTTTAACAATAAAAAAAACAAAACACTTAAGGATATCCAAGTACTTCTTACAGTTTCAACTATAGATTCAACCATTTTCAATTATTAAATTTGTAAATTAAATTTCATGAGAAAAATTTGAGAAAAAATCATGAATCTTCAACGTCAGTCAAATTACATTTTGCACAGAATTATAATTTTTTTTAAATTCGTTGTTTATGAATAAATAATTGAAATTGTTTAAACTTTAAGAAGCCTGATTTTTTTTTAACCATAAAATCGATTTCTGGTAAGATTCCGAATATTAATAAATTTGTTACGATTCTGACCAAATGATTTTTATGGCGGAAAATCGATTGTTTATAAATTATTTGTAGAAAATTCGTCATTTTCAAAAATAGCAATTTTTTAGATTTTTAAAATATTTTTTAATGCTTCAATATCAAGATTCAAATTCCGATCTGCAAAGTTTCTAAACAAAATTAACAATCATTACCCTGGAGAAAAAATAGCCAGAGTCCTTGGATATCTTTCCTCCCAAAAAAGTTCAAAAACTCAATGCTAAAAAAAAATACCTCAGTTTTCAAGAGATCTCCACCAGCCATAGCATCAAGCTGATCAGCAGTCATCTCCTCAGCAGCCTCCACCCCGGCCATTTTCTGTACAATCTCCTTAAGTATCAACAGATCAAGACTCTTCTGCGCCTTCAGCTGATTAGCCACATACTGAAGCAGCCCCGTGAGCTCAATATTATATTTCTTAAAAATGGCCCCACAGAAGGACGCCAAGGACTGGAGCCACTGGGATATGCTGTTGCCGTCGTGCTTCAACCTGTCGCGATCAGCCCCAGCCAGTGCCTCCACGAGGCAGTACCCGAGGACATCGTACGAGATGTTGGTCAGATACTTCAGTGAGTCCACAACAGGTCCAATGAGATTCTCATACAGCTGTATCTGAATGAGAATGTAGTCGAAGAGGACCCCAGGGGACGAGTGAGTCAGCTTGCCAATGGTCCTCCCCACAGGCTTGATGGTCTCCTTGCTCACCCTCTTCATGATGGACTTGATCTTCTTCTGGGCATCTGCTCGTTTGCGCAGCAATGCAGCATGCTGCATGGGCGTGTCGTTCTTCCACCTGGCATACAGACAATAACGATTCTGATAAGGGTAATACTTCAGAATATTCCACATCTCCTCAGCAACACAGCAGTTGCAGTCCATAAACGAGAGGGAGGGCAGCAGGGCAACGTCCAGGATCGTGAGAATATCGTAGTAGACGCTGCTGCTCCTGTCGATGGGCTGTTTGTTGGAGTCCAGTGGGTGCTGTTTGATGGCAGCATGACAGATCCTCATTATCTTGTACATCAGGATGGGATCGTGATGCAAATTTGGTCCCAGGATTATCAGCATTGGCAAGAGCTGGTCGTGAATGTCGTTGAGATCGTTCATAGGTCGTGGAGCCAGGGGATTGTTCAGGGGTGGGATCCTCCTGCCAGGGAGCTTTGGAGATATGATGCAGTGTTTGCGGTAGACAGGCTCGACTATCGATTGGACCATTCGGCAGAGGGCTAGGGCTATGGGCCTCTGGTCTGTCAGGCTGTGGTCTGGGAGACGACTGAAGAGGCTCTGGGCCACCTCCCAGGCGCCAATCTCCAGCAGTGCCTCGCACAGACCGAATTTCTGGTTCCCCGAGTACTTGTCCTGCGGTGGCTCTCGCTCCTCTGGCACCTCCTCACGATCTTTCGTCGAGATTATACTCATCTTTCGAACGTACTCTTTTGCTGAACGCATCGACTGCTCGTGGTCCTTGATGATGGTCTTGTCGTCCGGGACCAGCCAGGGGAGAATGTTGTCTAGGTGAATCACTTTGTGCTGGAGCATCAGGGCTGTGAGCTTCTGCAGGGAGAACGGGGTGGATTCCACTGTGGAACGGTACTTGAAACCCAGGACCTCGGAGAGGACTTGTTCGTCACACATGTAGGATTTTATCAGGGGAATGAAGAGGGCATCGTCCTCCGGGCGATTCTCGAATGTCTCCAGGACTATGTCCAGGACTCGGTTGGGGTCGAGGTTGAAGTAACCTGGGGACATTTTTTTTTATTCTGGTGGCTGGGGTTGGAGGTTTTCATTGGGGGAAATGGCGAAACATGATAAGTTTGTTCGATTTCGAAGCGGCAGGAAGTGGAGGTTTGAAGAGTTCTTGAGGCATTCCACGCTATTTCAATAATTAGATTATTTTTTCCGAAAATTATTTTTTCTTGATTTTTGGAAAAATCCAGTGGGACGATTTTTGAAGCCTCTATTCTGCTTATCAAGTAATTTAATGTGACGTCTATGTATATTTTTTTATGTATTGTAATCTTTTGTTTACAGTAATTGTAAACAAAGAGGAATTCAATCTTACTGTAATGAAAAAATACATATATAAGATTGTATATACGTATATATTATATAATATATACTATATAAAACATCGTATATATTATATAATATAAAAAATATATATGTATAGTATATATAGTACATATTATATGTCTGTAAACGCATGGGAGAAAAAAATCTTTTTACACAAGTTATACGAAAAATAAAATTTAATGTGTCATCAGGTAAGTAATTGTTTATAGTACCATAACCCGATAAGTATTAGTTGCGTAAGAAACAGTAGCTAAAGCCTTGGAATGTAGAGTTTTCGAAAACCAAGTTAAAAAACCTCCCGAAGACGTGAAATTTGAACTCATCAATATTCACCATTTCAACATAAAATAGAAAAAAAAAAATTAAATAAAACGTAAAATCTGACGTTTTTTTTTTCAAATTTTCACTTGTTTCTTACCTATGAGAGATTTGACAATTTCTAAAGTATTCGAAACCTCACTGGCAGGTCTCTCCTGAATCAATTCAACTATCAGCTTCGAATACCCCTCGCTCTCCTCCCGAAAAAGATTAAACTTCCGTTGTTTGTAACTGAAGAATACAAAGACCACAAAAACAATGAGACACATAACTACAAAAACGCCAAAACAAAACAACCAACTGCTACATACAAGAGTTTTGTCTTCACTTTAACAAACTTTGTGTTAAAGTTTCGATTTTTAAGAATTCCAACGTCCTGCAGGGTGTCAATCTCCAGTCGTTCTTTGAGTATCCTATCTGTCAAAAACTGTGCCAAAGGAGGAAAACCAAAAAACATTTAAAATAACTGGACCAGAGAGGAGATTCCCGAGAGAAAGAGTAGCCTACCTTTTCGCTTTCTTTTACGATGTAATAAAAATTGTTTCTGTTGTCGTTCACCACTTCCGCATCTATCAGGGTGAATAAATCCACAATAGTGGAGGGTATGGCAGCATCGATGCTCTAAAAAAATGAATTAAACCACGAATAACATGATTAATTCACAGGATCAATAATTTTCATCGATTCACACGAATAATTGATGCTTACGATAAGTTCTCCAAGGGTAGATACCACATTGTCTTTCTTTACATTCCCCTGGACTCCATTTGAGATCAATTCGTACAATCCTCGTCTCCATTCTACAACGAATAATGTTATTTCGAGTTAAAGAATGCTGTTTATTTTCCTCAATCAACGATTTCACCAGTATTAGGATGACCTTCATGCACAGAAAGGGAACAAAGGAATTTTAAAAACACTGAACATGGTGGATTGGTGATGGTTATCCCGCCTATTCTGTGGTACATACCTGTAGTGTCGCCTTCCTTATACTTCTGCTTGATTATCTTGAGGCTGCAAACATTGGTTAATCGACAATTAACTCTTCGGTAGAGCGATATACCCGGAATATTAAAGTTGCAACCGTCAATACTTTATTTCCCATAAAAACAGATATCTGGTTTATCAATGAATCATTTATTTTCCCAGTGAAAGTTATCATTTATTTATTGGGGGATGAAATCGAAAGCCTCAAACAATACGCCTTTGCCTATGTACCACCATTCTCCTTGTCGTTAAATGCCTGGATACTACCACTTACTAATCATTTTTTCCATGTTTGTCCCATGTTTTCCATAAATCAGAATGCCACCCTTTATTAATCGCCATTTTTCATTTGTTATTACACGATATTTGGTTCTTCAATTTGTTAAAAAACACAACCGCATCAACAACGCACGTTACACTGTCGACGCCATTGTGGTTCATGGGGCCTTTTCAATTTCAATATGGAGACTGTTCAACACATCGTCTAGTCTTCAAAATAAAAACTTCTTTCGCAACTTCTAATTTTTTTTTCAGCGAAAAATAATAATTAAACGAGAGGAAAAATCGTGCAGTTAAAAATGGAATTTTTTTTTGTTAACGTCAATTTTTATTTTTCGGTGTTTATTTTGAATAGTTTTATTCAGCGGAAGTGGAGAGAGCCGCTGGTACTTCCGGCGTGGAAGGCGACAGGAAGCGGTCACTTGTTGCCTTATGTGAACGCGGCTTGAAGTTCTTTTCAGTAGATCCATTTGTCGGAGAGGTAATGAAGGATTTTTGTTGAAATGATAATCTAATAACATCCACACAATTTGTGGTGAATTGTAATATTATTCAGTGGAATTATAATCGTTGTTAATTTCTGGGGAGAATTATGTCGATATTTTTGGGATTGAGTGGTGATAAAGGGCGATTTTTCGTGTCACATGGGGGAGACGTTTGTTTACATCTAAAAGTCTAATGACATTTAATTTGGGGTGGAATTAGTGGAGGGCGGGGTCTCGAGGTGGGATGAGCTTTGTTTTTTGTTAAGGGGTCGTGTTGTTGTTATTAACAATTTGTTGGTTATGTTTTCGTTGTTTATGACTGTCAGGGTTAACCTCAATCTTAAGACCGGAGAGTGGAGGGTGAACAAAAGAGAGATTAGAATGTTGGGGGTGAAGGGTAAAATGAACTGTATTTGATCGTAAATAACTACAGATGGGAAGAGGGGAACGCTAGAATTTTTTTTTATCTTGACAGTATTTTTTTTTAACTTGAGAATGAGATTTGATTCATCGAAATTGTACCATTTGGTCAGGAGATATTGACGATTAAAGACAGACTATTTAATCTAACTTATGTTATTTCATTTCCAAAGAGAAATTTATAAACAACACCGACGGATGTTCATTAAGGCCTTCTATGTAGAGGAATTCAACCCCCGAAAAATCTACAAATCTAAATATTTTCCCAAAACTACCTCGAAGTCTGAAAATAATTAAATAGGGGAGATTTGCTCAAAGTGACTATTTTTAATCTTCAATATCTCAAAAACCACGGCGAGAAATTTCACATTTTTATTTCCACTTTAAACGTATTACTTCAGGTTTTAAAATGAGACCTAATTAATTCAAATCATATCATTCGATCAAACGATATTGATGATTGAATGAAGTTGATTTGACCTCACCTTTTCCTACAGGAAATCGAGGGAGAGGATTTTGGCTGGCATTTACCTGATCCATTTTTGTTGCAGGTGACAATGGCCAAGACGAACGAAAAAAAGGGCAAGAGTGCCATCAATGAAGTGGTGACTCGCGAGTACACCGTAAACCTTCACAAACGTCTCCATGGAGTTGGGTTCAAGAAACGTGCACCAAGGGCCATCAAGGAAATCCGTAAATTCGCGGAGAAACAGATGGGCACACCTGATGTCAGGATTGACACTCGTCTCAACAAACAACTCTGGTCCAAGGGTATCAGGTGAGAAATAATTCTCCAAGTATTATTTCAATATTGAGATTTCGAGGAGGAACTAAAGAAGTAACAAGTGGTAGTCAAAATTTTTTATTGATAAATCGTTGTCTTCATGAAAGTTCAAATGACTGAAGAGAAATGTTTACGAGATCACCCAATTGTACCTTTCGAGATTCAATATTGGCTTTTATGGGACATACAGTTTTATCGTAGGAATGCAGAGGAGAAGTTTTATTAACCAATTCAGTAGCGAGGTGGTCAAACTAAATTAAGCCAATTCAGTCTTCACTTGAGTTTTCCAGAAATATTTCCGAATTTAAGAGAGATAGCGAAATTTTCATTATGGCCTTTTTTGTAGAGCGAATTGAGTGCTACTAAAAAGGTTATGAGAAAAATTTTGCTATCTCCCTTAGATTTCGAGATATTCATTGAAAACTGGCCAATAGCCAAAATCGACTTAAACCGTTTGACTGCTTCGTTACTGAATTGTTAACCATTATTAACCAATGAAACGGTTCATCTCCATGATGCTAGTAATTACCAATAATTAATTAAATTAAATTAAATTAAATTGGTCATAAGTTGTTGTTACTCATTATTAACCCCTTTGGAACGAGAATTTTTTAAATTGAATGAGAACAAAAATGTGGGAAAAATATTGAAACTCCTCAAACTACTGAAAATATACCATCTAATATAATGAATTATTAATCAAAACCAAATGTAAACGAAATTTGCCAAATTTTGACTGAAGTCGCTGAGAATCTCGTTCTTAATACGACTTTAAATAAACGAAAGAATTCAGTCTTCACTTGAGTTTTCCAGAAATATTTCCGAATTTAAGGGAGATAGCGAAATTTTCATAATGACCTTGTTTGTAGAGCGAATTGAGTGCTACTAAAAAGGTTATGAGAAAAATTTTGCTATCTCCCTTAGATTTCGACATATTCATTGAAAACTGGCCAATAGCCAAAATCGATTTAAACCGTTTGACTGCTTCGTTACTGAATTATTAACCATTATTAACCAATGAAACTGTTCATCTCCATGATGCTAATAATTACCCATAATTAATTAAATTAAATTAAATTAAATTGGTCATAAGTTGTTGTTACTCATTATTAACCCCTTTGGAACGAAAATAATTCAAATAGAATGAGAACAAAAATGTGGGAAAAATATTGAAACTCCTCAAACTAATGAAAATATACCATCTAATATAATGAATTAATCAAAAGCAAATGTAATCGAAATTTGCCAAATTTTGACTAAAGTCGCTGAGAATCTCGTTCTTAATACGACTTTAAATAAACGAAAGAATTCAGTCTTCACTTGAGTTTTCCAGAAATATTTCCGAATTTAAGGGAGATAGCGAAATTTTCATAATGACCTTTTTTGTAGAGCGAATTGAGTGCTACTAAAAAGGTTATGAGAAAAATTTTGCTATCTCCCTTAGATTTCGACATATTCATTGAAAACTGGCCAATAGCCAAAATCGATTTAAACCGTTTGACTGCTTCGTTACTGAATTATTAACCATTATTAACCAATGAAACTGTTCATCTCCATGATGCTAATAATTACCCATAATTAATTAAATTAAATTAAATTAAATTGGTCATAAGTTGTTGTTACTCATTATTAACCCCTTTGGAACGAAAATAATTCAAATAGAATGAGAACAAAAATGTGGGAAAAATATTGAAACTCCTCAAACTAATGAAAATATACCATCTAATATAATGAATTAATCAAAAGCATATGTAATCGAAATTTGCCAAATTTTGACTAAAGTCGCTGAGAACCTCGTTCTTAATACGACTTTAAATAAACGAAAAAAATAAAAATAAGAAAATAATTTACATGAGATAAAAAAATGTCAGTGGCATTAAAACACATTGACAATGCTGGAATCCATCAACAATCGATAATAATTCATGTATTGTTTTTTCATTTCTGTTCAGAAACGTTCCATTCAGAGTTCGTGTTCGCCTGAGCCGAAGAAGGAACGACGACGAAGACTCCGCCAACAAGCTGTACACTCTGGTCACATACATCCCCGTCGTGAGCTTCAAGAGTCTGCAAACAGAAAATGTTGACGCAAGTCAAGATTAAATTTTTCATTAATAAATAATATTGGCTCGTCAGTTGCGTTATCATTGCTCCAAAATCCCAGAATTACACCCTCTCGAATGTCATCAGTTGAAAACTCATTACGATTTCTGTATATTGGCCTCAATCTGGTCTCAATGCAGCATCAATCATTTCTTGGGAGAAATTGTGTACGTCGAGTCGAGATGAATCAGTGAATGACCTGCGCCAACGGTTCTATTTCCACCGGTATCAATAATTTAACCGTCGGTTGTTTAATCGAGTTATTGGGGAATAATTTAGGAGATGGTAATTATCAATGGTTGGCTTGTAAGATGTGAATGGAGATTAGGGATTTATTGATTTGGGTCTCTCATTCGAAGTATTGAGAATTCTAGGGTTGCTTATTGTTGGAGGTTCGTGTGCATCAGTTGCCGAGCACTTGGGCTCAGATTTTAAACACTTGAATGAAGGACTACTATTTTTTTTTTATATTTCTTTTCCTACTACTCTTCCTACATTTCTCTCTTCTGATTTTTTCAGCGAACAATGAACGACTACTATTTAAGCCATTGAAAACTCAGAGGAATGACCTATTTCAATCAAATAGAACTTCATTTGAAATTTTTTTATTCATTTTAGGAGTTTTTTTGTTGGCAATTGATAAACTCATACATTTAAGGTGTTTCGTGCGAAAAAATTAAATGATCAGATTCATCTGGAATTCATATAGAATGTCTACAATCACAATTGAATTATCTGTGAATTTTCCTAGACTTTTTTCGGATTTCCTTTTTAAGTTATTAATGATTGAAGTCGCTTCTTCTCCATAGGCTCTCTTCTCATGAAGATCTTCTCATGAAGATTTTTCTGTTTAGCACGAAACTGCGTTACCATCTGAGCTGATAATATAGTTTCACGCTAAACAGAAAAATCTCCATAAGAGCGCATGTATAAGCAGCGACTTTAATCGTTAATAACTTGAAAAGGAAACCGGAAAAAACTCTATAAAAATTCATAGACATTCCAATTGTGATGATAAACATTCTATAAGAATTCCAGATGAGTGTCATTATTTACCTCATTCGCACGAAATACCTTAAATGAAAATTTTTTCATTTTATGAACTCGATGGTTCATTCATGAAAAAAATTGATTCAAATCAAATTAAAATTAAATTTTTGTTCTCAGCTAAATAACAATTTCATTTCTAAAAAAAAAGAAATAATTGTCTGTGTATAGACACTTATCGAAATACAAAATGATTGAAACCAAGAGTATAAGCGTAGAAGAACAAGAATGATAAGAGAAAACTGTTATATTGAATATGATTGAGAAGATAAATATAAGTCCCAATGTGATAAAAAAAATGAGTAGACTGTTAAAAACTAAGTTTAGATCCAAGTACTATGTAACCGGTGGGAATGTAAAAGGCCACGCAAGGCTATACATCTTATCTAATAAAAAATCTAATCTAATCAATTTCATTTCTAACTAATAAAGTCTCCATTTGTTCGAAAAAACATCGGTTTGTTTCTGAAAAACTATTTGAAGTGAATGGAAAGGCAAATAAAAATGACGGGTAAGTTTGAATAAAAGTCTTCTAGCGAGCTATTTCGCTCCATTCCTTATTTCAAATGAAGTTTATTCAACTTGAATGACACTGATTATCCATTCATTACGAAATTGTAATCGTTAATGGCGATTCATCATGCATTTTCATTCTAAAGTTCATTCTGTCGTGCACTCATAAAAAAAACGATACCATAAATTCTCCATTGATTATTCCGCAAATATCTCTTGAAGTAATGGGTTTTGGAAAAGCTCCCTTGTTCTCTTATTAATTTCTAGAGTTTCGAGAATATATGCAAGTGTCTTTTTGCAATTAATCATTAGTGAATTTCAGACATTTCAATCTCACCACTCTCTCTCCCTATCCCTGGGATTTTTACATTTTTACATTCTTTAATTCAATTAAAACACTTGTCTGGCTGCAGAACGCGATTTGAATGACACTGATTATCCATTAATTACGAAATTGTAATCTTAATGGCGATTCATCATGCATTTTCATTCTAAAGTTCATTCTGTCGTGCACTCATGAAAAAAACGAGACCATAAATGCTCTACTGATTATTCCACAAATATCTCTTGAAGTAATGGGTTTTGGAAAAGCTCCCTTGTTCTCTTATTAATTTCTAGAGTTTCGAGAATATGTGCAAGTGTCTTTTTGCAATTAATCATTAGTGAATTTCAGACATTTCAACCTCTCTCCCTATCGCTGTGATTTTTACATTTTTACATTCTTTAATTCAATTAAAACACTTGTCTGGCTGCAGAACGCAATTTGAATGACACTGATTATCCATTAATTACGAAATTTTAATCGTTAATAGCAATTCATCATGCATTTTCTGTCCAAAATTTATTCTGTCGTGCACTCACGAAGTCTGAAAATTCTGTATTGATTATTCCGCAAATATCTCCTGAAGTAATAGGTTTTGGAAAAGCTCTCTTGTTTTTCTCCTTAACTTCGAGAGTCGCGGAATCTCTGCAAGAGATTCATTCCTGTTCTCAAATTCGATCCCCCATTTCCGGTGGTTTTGAATGAAGCCATTTCATAATGGAATGTCATATGTTTGAATTAATAATGCCAGTACCATGATTCACATCCGTCGTGACTCCAAGATTTTAATCTTTAATTATTCTACAGATATTCACATAAATCATGTCAAATTCTCGGTAATTTTTAATAGACGTTCATTCAGTCCATTTGCGTAACATTATTTATTGAGGAAAAGTGAGGAAATCTACTTTTTGATGAAAATGCATAGAATAGTTAAGAAATTACTATTTTTTGAGATTTTTTGTTATTTGTATTAATGATTTTCATTGTTTATCCTATGAAATGTGCAGCAAATGCTCAACTTTGAGTTCAACTAGTGAAGAAGCTTTTTGTTTTCGTTTATTACTTTCGCATTGATTTGTCAATTTTTAAATTTTTTTCGATTTTTTTATGATCCGCACGATTTAGTTGAAAAGACTGGATTCCCTAAATCTCTCAAAATGTCAAAAATTCAAACATAATATGCACAAAATAATAAAGCATGGAAAATCCTTTAAAAAAACAACTATTAATACTAAATTATTGATTTCTTGTATTTGTCAATATAAAAACAATTTGAATCTTTGTATGATATTAATCATTAATGTATTAATTCAGTGGATAAATTCAGTTGGATTACATTGTCTGCTCAAAAGCAGAGAATAAAAAAAAAGAAAAAAAAATCGGCTAATTCCTAAAAAAATAGTAATTTTACAAAAAATAGTTGAGATGTTGTAGTTGAAATGTCGTCTATTTGAAGACTGGATCCCCTAAATCTCCCAAAATGTAAACAATTCAAACAAAATATACCCAAAATAATAAATCATGAAAAATTCTTTGAAAAAACGACTTATTAATACTAAATTATTGATCTCATGTAATGGTTATTGTAAAAACAATTTGTATCTTTGTATGATATTAATCATTAATGTATTAGTTCAGTGGGTATATTCAGTTGGATTAGATTGTCTGTTGAAAAGCAGAGAATAAAAAAACTGAAAATTGAAAAAATTTCGGCTAATTCCTAAAAATATAATAATTTCACAAAAACTAGTTGAGATGTTCTAGTTGAAATGTCGTCTAGTTGAAGACTGAATCCCCTAAATCTCCCAAAATGTAAACAATTCAAACAAAATATACCCAAAATAATAAATCATGAAAAATTCTTTGAAAAAACAACTTATTAATACTAAATTATTGATCTCATGTAATTGTAATTGTAAAAATAAATTGAATCTTTGTATGATACTAATCATTAATATATTAGTTCCGTGGTTAAGTTGACTTGAATCACATTATCTGTCGAAAAGCAGAGAATTAAAAAAATGAAAATTGAAAAAATTCCTAAAAAAATAGTAATTTCACAAAAACTAGTTGATAAGTTGTAGTTGAAAAATGCAATTCAAATGTCGTAGTTGAAAAGACGTGCCCCCATTATCGAGTGCGTTTCGGAATCAACTACCGGAGCTGCAGTCAAGTAAAATTGGATAGGGTTGCAGTACTGTTACTGCGACTACCTCCATTACCAAGCGCATCCATCAATACTCCCAAAATTTGATAGAAAAATAATAATCATTGTCCTCCCAAAAAAAATGCAGTAATAAATAGGACAAAACATCGTAGATACCCGCCGTGAACTATCGCATCCCAGGCGTTGAGATATTAAATTGTATTCCTAGCGAATTGTCGGGCGTCCCACGGGGCCCTGCACCGACCAATATTTAATCAACTTTGCAGGAGAATATTATTCTCCGGACAAATCAAGGACATATGTAGCGGAGTCCCGCGTGTATCCACACACTCTCCCCCCGATTCTTCCTGCACCCACACACCAAAGAATCGCAGTGGATGGGTGAGTGATCACGGATAGGGCGGTTTTACCCCCGTCCGAGCGTCGAGCCCGACATACCGCACGCTGTAGCGTGTTGCTGCCGTGAATCCCTCGGGACCGGTGGATTTGGAGAGACAAAAAAAACACCGAAAGAGTGAGGGTCGACGTTTCCATGTTGTTTGCGCTCGTGAGAACAAGTGCCCGGCAAGTGTCGCACCATTTTTTTCATCTCCCTTCCGTCTTCTTCCTTTTACTCATATATAGGTCCTCGATTTTTATTGACACAGAATTTATGAGCCCCGGAGTCAAATCAAAAAGGTAGTCATTCTCTCAATTCAATTGAAGATGGAATGGTTGATAAAAATGAAAAATTGAAGGGAAATTACAAAATGGGGTAGGCTATTAGCCTTTAAGGGATATCTCTAGAGAACAGGTTTTTCTTATGAATGCAGAAACAATTTAATAAAAAACCGAGCGAGTTCGCTAGATAATTCTGTTGGATTTTCTATTAGTTTTTGGCCGATTCTATTAAAATATTCTATAGAAAAAATCAATAGAAGTCGATTTTTCTACACAATTTATTCTCTTGAAATATTTTCTATAGAACTTCCTCGGCTCGCATTTTCTAAGTTTTTTTCACTCCATTCTTCTTTTCTTTTCATAGAATTTCTTTTGAAAAAAACCCGGAAAATTTGAGCCGAGGAAATTATATAGAAAATATCTCAATAGAATAAATTGTACAAAAAAATCGAATTTCTCAACTTTTGTATTAGAACACCAGAGCTTTTATTTGAGCTCCACTTCACCCTAAGTGTCCGGACATTTTACAACGATTTTGTTATTCAAACTTTGCAAGTCTAAATTTGAATCTTGAACATTTGCAAAATCTTTAAAAAAATTAGAAAGTTTACTTTTGGATGAAGATGTATGAATTAATTTTAAAAATTCAATTTTTAAGAATTACGAGCGTTTTCTATAAATAATTTACAAACAATGAATTTTCCACCACAAAAATCATTTGTGCAGAACCGTAACAGATTTATTCATATTCAGAATTTTATCAGAAGTCGATTTCACGTTTAAAAAAATTAGAGTTCCGAAAGTTTAACTAATTCCACTTATTAACTAATAAACAACGATTATTCAAAAAATAATAATCCTATGCAAAACATAATTCGAATGACGCAGAATATTCATGATTTTTTTTCAAATTTTTCTCACGCAATTTGATTAACAAATTTGATGACTGAAAATGGTTGAATCTACAGTACGTCGTCTGCACCAAACTGTGAAAAATACTTGGACATCGTAGTAGTACTATATAGTCGTGTGATATTATGATAACATAATGTAACACTACATTATGTCATCAGGCGATGAAAGTATTATCCGACTCATGTAACTTTATAACCCCCGCCTTCGGCTCGGACAATAATCACACGAGTCCTAAAATACTTCTATCGCTGCGTGCTATAATATTTTATCCGAGCGATGCTCCCACAAGTTACGCCGAGCATGCGTAAAATTTCGCTTCACGCACAAGTGTCGAAAAGATCACTTAATCAACCTAATATTGACGAATGAATCTGGCCTAATCCCCTGCCCGTTGCATTCTCCCAACCACCCAAGAAAAACACCTCAAAATCTTTCACCCGCATATCATACAATACCGAGGATTCAACAAGCCACAAATGTCGATTCGAGTGTGCGAATGGAAAGTAGAGAGCGGGAGAATGCTGTGCTTCGTGGCTCGTAAAATCGTGAATTTTCCCCCTCGTCGAAACATTAGGCATCATCACAGGCGATAGCGTTTCGTTTTAACCCCTCATACCCATTTTTGAGACTCCCAGAGGTTGGGTGAAGCCCCCCTCCCCCTCCCCCTCCGCCCCCTCTCCGCCAATCCCTCACCCTCGCCCTCATCACTAAGGGGCGTTGATCTTGCCGGGAAGAGTGAAAATCGTACAATCGTACAGAGGGATGAAATAGCCAGGGGTGGCTGTTTACAATCCACCAATGAACGCACAGTATTCTCTCCCATACAGTCTGCCATATCGGCAGAAACCCCCGGGCAGTTAAGCCACGCCCCCATTCACCCCGAGCCTAGGATACGAAATGGGGGGTAGAGCAGTACGCGATGTGAAGAGCGTTATTGAATTAAGCTTATCATTTGATTTTGAGGAGAGCCACCAGTCGGTTGTCTCGGGTGCTCTTAAACGCCACCGAAAAACTTTTCTATCGCCGACCCCCGGGATAATCGCAATAATTTGATATCGCTCCTTGATACGATTACATCGTAAGCACCCCGCGGCTTTTCCAAGAGGTATAACGCGTGGTGGAGAGCGAAAGGAGGTGCTGGAAAGAAAACGGAGAAAGGAGTTGGAAGTCGCCGGCTTTTCCTCGGGTTTTCTTTTCTTTTCTTTGTTTATATACGTTTTGTTCTCCTTCTGCGGCACGACGCGGGGGTCTGCGGATGCGGTGGAGACAGTTGTGCGCGGAAATTGGGCCTCACGCGGCTGATTGAGTGAGTGCGCGTGCGCAGGCGGCCTCTGGCGCACCGGAGGAAGGCGCGCGTTCCGCGTGTCCGCGGGGGAATCGAGATTTTGTTCATGTAATACGATCCCGGGGACTGATCGTGTGCCCGACGGCCCGCGCGGCCGTGATGCCACCCAGTAACAAGGACTAAGGTTGCTTTGGGGTCAGGTGTGACGGATTTGGAGACGATATTTGGTACTTGTGATTTTGTGAGATTTGCGGGGGTGTGGAGAGACGGGAATGGATTATTCGTATTTGAATCAAGCGGCGGCTGCGGCGGCCGCCGGGTTCGAGGCGTCGAGCTGCGCTCTTGCCGCCGGGGATATGCAGTGTGGATATGGGGACTTGAGTTCGTGCTCGCAGATGAGTCAGGCGGCGTATCGGTACACGGCGGCGAGGGCCGCGGGGTATCCGGGGAATGCTGGCGCCACGGGGACCGCCAGCGGCCCGGGACTTGGGGCGCATCATGCTGGGCATGCTCATGCCCACGCGCATCATGCTGCCCATGCGACACCCTGCTCTGTTATGGCGGCGAGGAGTCAGGATGTTCATCGGCATGCCGCCTCTATATTCAATCAGTCGATTAATCTTCAAGGTAAGGGGGGTGCGGTTTTTGGAGCAGGGAAGGGAATGCGGGGGCAACATTTTACGCACGCTCCGTGTTCCGGAAACCCCATTACGTACATATTGTGGGGGAAAATAGCGTTCGACATTCGTCGGAAATTTATTTTTTGAGATGGAGGGTAGACACATGTCATCCGTCACACGTCAAGACGCACTTTTTGGCATTCCGGACGTAAGGCGGCGCTTCGCGGACGCTGCGGAATCTCTGACTAGGGCTGTTATGACCAACAATATTGTTCGTCACACGGCACCTCATATTAGCCTGATTTTTTTTTCGGCCTTACACTGTTAGAAAATTACTCCTGAAATTTCGAGTAAAAAATCTTGGAATTTTTAATAATCATTCATTCACAAGAAATTTTCATGTATTAGTGAGAAATCAGTTGAATTCTGTTTCTAGTTCACATGATAATGAAAATTATTAAATAATTTGAAAATTTACGCAACAATATTCTTGAATCTTCAATCCACTGAAAATTCAGTTGGATGTGATGTTCAATTTCCGCAATGGTAATGAAAATTATTAAATAATGTGAAAATTCTAGGTGTTGTTGAAATATCAACGATAATCTAACATGAAAAATCCAATTATTCTGAATTTCCGATCTGAGTGAGAAATTGCATGAACGATTTTTCACGGAATTTTTCCAGAGCGTTCCGTAATTTTTATCTGAATCTCCTGTGAAAAATTACGATACCGTCATTTAAATTTTCTGAGTCGATTCCGTAATCGGTAAGCGAATTGTGAGTTCCGTAATTTTTACTGAACATTTCTCTCCGTGCATGCAATAATCTCTCATTTAGATCAAATATAGAGTTTTATTTGATTCGAATGCTTCATTTCTCCGGTCATTCATTTCGTCACACGTAAAAGCCAATCTCTAGAGCCAAAATAATTCATTCCACATGCGCATTTTCTTCACAAACCGTCGATATGGAGATAGTGGTTCTAACGATCAATGAATCAGACGCGTAAAGTGCATTAATAATTCCATTCGAGTCGTCGTGTAAACAAATATGTTCTTAATCCACACAAAGAATTTGTTAATTTAAAATGGAATTAATGTTTGGACATCGAAGGGAAGAGATTCATCAGCATGTCAATCCCTCATTTAGGTAAAATATAGGGTTTTATTTGACTCGAAAGCTTCATTTCTCTGAGCGCATATGTGATTCATTTCATGGCACAAAAACCAATCTCAAGAGCCAAAATAATTCATTCCACATGCGCATTTTCTTCATAGACCGCTGAGATGGAGATAATGGTTGTGACGATCAATGGATAAGATTAAAGTGCATTAATAATTCCATTCGAGTGGTCGTATAATCTCCTTGAATTTTGCTCAGGAGAATGTAAATTCATATCCGGTGCATCGGTGAATTATTATCGAGGCCCCGCTGAGGCACTGAAAAATTATCCGTCAAAAAATGTCAATTTACTGTGCCCAAGGCACGTCGATAATCAACGAGAATTGGTGCGCCCAATTTTTCCATTTACCACGAAAATGAACTCCAATTTCCTCCATCCGTCGAACTCCAGTGGAAAAATTCATCATCAATGATTCATTCCACCGGATAATTCCCTTTGATTATATTTCACGGTAATACACGTCGCCTCGCGTGTCGAAAATAATTTTTCCCTCAATTTTTTAACGTCAACTGTCACAGGTACCTGAAATTTTCAACGGATACAGCAGCCAGCGGTTTATTTCAGGTACTTGAGTACCGCATGTGAATTGAGAATTGAATGAATATTTGAGCCAGGTTTCGTTTACTTGTTCATCGGGATGAACACAGAGCCATCATCTAGCTCTTCAGATGATATTTACTGAATTATTGACGGGAAATTTCTATGTTGGGATGAACATTTTTATTTGATGGCTTCTGTTGTCGGTGGGAATCGTGTATTTTATTTGTGAGATTGTCTTACAGTGTTAGAATATTATTCTTGGGGTTTTGAGTCAAACATATTGCAATGACTAATTTAAAACTAATTCAAAAATAAGCCAAAGTAGGACTAATGTACATGAAACTCTCATTTATGTTGTTGCTGACAAAACACTTGATTTCTGGGATGTTTAATGAAATTCCAAAATTGTAAAATTTGAGGCTACTATTGTTCTGATTGATAAAATTATTTATAAATCTTTGTTTAATTATGAAATAACCAAAAAATTCTCATATTATCGCTTCTTTGATATTACGAATATGAAAGCCTTCAGTTAGCGATAATTAATTGACGATAATCTAATATCGGATTTCGTGAATTAATCAAAAGACTCTTCCATAACTCCAAATACCGATGAATACTTTTACAATTTTCCCTCATGAAGTGGTCGGACTGTGCACTTACTTCCCGATAAATGCTGTCAATTATCTGTTACTTGAAATTCTGACAACTTTTAATAAAAAAAGTCAGAAGATATTTTCGCACTAGCCCGCGTTTGTCATCCAATTCTAATTTTGCGGAAAAATTTTCAAAGCTAATTTTTAAATTAATTAATACTATTAATATTTTTTAGGACTATTAATTTTCAATTTCTAAGTCCTCAAAACAACTTGTCAAATGGTCAAATTGTCGTTAAGTCTATTCTGATTTATGACTCATTTTAAAAAAAATCAAATGAACGCTCCTTCGATACCACAAATCTGAAAACCTCCATTTACTTCTAAAATTATGCAAAACATGAAGAAATCCACTCCCTCCATAGTAAATTGCCAATAATTTAATGTCGCATTTCATGAATGAATGAAAAAAACACTTCCATAACTCCAAATATCGATAACTACTTTTACAATTTTTCCTCATGAAGTGGTCGGACTGTGTACATATTTCCCGATAAATGCTGTCAATTATCTGTTACTTGAAATTCTGAAAACTTTTAACAGATAAAGTCCCAATATATTTTCGCACTAGCCCGCGTTTGTCATCCAATTCTAATTTTGCGGAAAAATTTTCAAAGCTAATTTTTAAATTAATTAATACTATTAATATTTTTTAGGACTATTAATTTTCAATTTCTCAGTCCTCAAAACAACTTGTCAAATTGTCAAATTGTCGTTAAGTCTATTCTGATTAATGACTCATCTAAAAAAAAATCATATTATCGCTCTTTCGATACCGCAAATCTGAAAACCTTCATTTACTTCTAAAATTATGCAAAACTTGAATAAATCCACTCCCTCCATAGTAAATTGCCAATAATCTAATGTCGCATTTCATGAATGAATGAAAAAAACACTTCCATAACTCCAAATATCGATAACTACTTTTACAATTTTTCCTCATGAAGTGGTCGGACTGTGTACATATTTCCCGATAAATGCTGTCAATTATCTGTTACTTGAAATTCTGAAAACTTTTAACAGATAAAGTCCCAATATATTTTCGCACTAGCCCGCGTTTGTCATCCAATTCTAATTTTGCGGAAAAATTTTCAAAGCTAATTTTTAAATTAATTAATACTATTAATATTTTTTAGGACTATTAATTTTCAATTTCTAAGTCCTCAAAACAACTTGTCAAATTGTCAAATTGTCGTTAAGTCTATTCTGATTAATGACTCATCTAAAAAAAAATCATATTATCGCTCTTTCGATACCGCAAATCTGAAAACCTTCATTTACTTCTAAAATTATGCAAAACTTGAATAAATCCACTCCCTCCACAGTAAATTGCCAATAATCTAATGTCGCATTTCATGAATGAATGAAAAAAACACTTCCATAACTCCAAATATCGATAACTACTTTTACAATTTTTCCTCATGAAGTGGTCGGGACTGTGCACTTACTTCCCGATAAATGCTGTCAAGTAGATAGAGGAGTTTATAGTCAGCCGGCGGACGGGTCTGGCAGAGTGGTAGCAACGACAAGATGGCACTGAAAATCAATGGATGCCTTCCTCTCTCTCCTCATCCTCTTGACGCTCATCACTATGGTTACGTACTCGCGTTCTCATTGCGTCGATCACGGCATCACATCTGAAACTAGTTTTTATGCGACGAGAAAATTCATCGTAATGCTCCGCTCGACTCTGCCCTTCAGAGTAATAAAAAGTTTATCATTATTTGCGAAGAAAATGCACTGATGGCAATTTACTTGACAGGTGGCCTGGGGTACAAGCCGTACTCGGCGCACGACGGGCTCGCGGAGAAGAGGAAACAGCGACGGATACGCACGACGTTCACCTCGGCTCAGCTGAAGGAGCTGGAGCGGGCGTTCCAGGAGACACATTATCCTGACATTTACACGAGAGAGGAGATAGCGATGAAGATCGATCTCACGGAAGCCAGGGTACAGGTGAGTTGGTTTTATTGTCTGATCTTAAATTTCCGGAACCACTTGCGCGTGCAGGTGGCGGAGTCGGGCGAGTTTTTCAGGGAGTGGAATTGGTAGGTAAGGGGTAGGAATAGGTATTTGAGTCTCGAAAAACTTTTTTTGGAGTGCAAACGTCCATTTTGGGGAGGATAGTGCGCGCTAATGGGGGAATATCTGTCGGATGAAATTGGAAATTGAAAAATACTTCATACACGGAGAGAATTTGGAAATAAAGATTACTTTAGGAAGGTAGTCGGAGATATTGTCCCCGGACAAAAGAGACAAAAGAGGTTTCCTAGAATCCTTTGAGAACAGTCACTGATAGAAAATTACTCCTCAAATTTCGCGTGAAAAATTTTGCAATTTTTAACAATCACTCATTCATACGACATTTCCATGTTTTTTGTTATTGAAGGATCAGGTGAATTCTGGAGTATTTAATGCAATTGCAATTTTCAGGTCCACATGGCGATGAAAATTGTTAAAGAATTTGAAAATTCAAGTAATAATTTCCCTGAATTTTTCATTTTCGCAATGAATTTGAAAATTCTAGGTGTCATTGAAATATCAGTGATAATCTAAACTAGAAACCCCAATTATTCTGAATTTCCAATCTGAATGAGAGGTTCCATGAACGATTTAATCTTACGTTGAATTCAAATTCACAACATTGAGAATTCAAGTGCGACTATTACGTAATCTAAAAAAAATTTCTACCGTTTTTTATTTGTTCCCGTGTATTCAATCCTCCCAAAATTTCTTTCCGTGTATTCAGTTCATCAATAAACTCACCCATTCATAAAAATACTCTTTATGCCACTCATGCCTGAAACCGGCTGGATTACACACTCGACGCTTCGACCCCCTCGTGTCTAATTCAGCCGGTTTCAGGCTTCGTGACATAAAATGTTGTTCAGTACTTGTTAGGAAATTTCGTCCTTAACGTGTGTGGTTACATCACTCGCCTTCGGCTCATGCTGTAAACCCCACACACGTTAAAGACGAAATTGCCCCACACGTGCTGAAATATACTATTTCATAGAAAATTCCCTCAGCTAAAAAATTCGTCCTCCGACATTGCGTTCTACAATCCCTCTTTCTACAGCCACTTTCCTATCTATCAGACATTGAGTCGCATTCTCCCCCTAAGTGCTGCGGGAAGAGCGAAAGAACCAACTTGAAAATTTACTCTGTTGTTTACTCGTTCCCCACCTATCCCCCAAATCCCCCGAATTTCCATCCATTTTCCAGGCTCGTTGTCAGTAGTTTCAATCCGTGGAGAGCAGAAAAATCAAAACGTCGACGTCAATTTGCTTCGGTGTCAGTGATTTCTGACAGAATGGCAAATGGACGGGCATGATAAGACGATGCGGAGGGTCAGGACCCTCTGTAAGAAGACCCTCGGACCTTCAGGAGGCTGGGAGTATCTTAGACGCCTAATGCAATTAAATTACCTACGTCTTGTTCGCTCTCACGGGCACCTGCAGTCGTGACCTGATGGATTACAGTGCCCAACGTACTTGACGGATTATCGTTGTGAGCTTGTTTCGGGGATACTCTTCATGGTTGTTGAGATGAATTGGGGGGGCGGCTGGGCAGTCATGGGGACAGGGAGTTGGGGAAATCAATCGGTCAAATTACTCCAACTGGGTTTTGTTTGGGTGGGATATGCGTGTGCATGAGGGAAAGCTGAGGATTTTTAATGTTTCTTCGCCTGGAGATATAATTATTTTATTATTCTTCGGCCTATGCTGATGTTTTCATTTATTTTACACTGAGAGAACAATCTGAAGTTCCATTTACAATAAGAAAATAGTTGAGGCATTTTGGTGAACGATACAATTTTTTTTTGTACGCGGGACGTAACATTATAGTAACTTCACAAGCCTAATTTTTACAAATCAAAATGCAGTTAAACTAACCAAAGTTCAAAAGTAATCACGACAAATCTATCGTGAGGAGAACTATAAAATAGTTGCAATGACTGCATTCCATTGTAGTAGTTACTTCTCCGGCCATAGTTACCGTAACCCATGAAAAATTGTTGAGGACTTTTTGGCTATAATTCGATGGTGATGGAATATAGTCAGAAAAAATATATTTTTCTCTCAGTGTACATTTTGAAATTGTGAAATTTCTTGGAGTCGAGAGCTTGGTATATTTCAAGAGTGAAATTAAATCTTAGAGAACAAATCTGTTTTCGACATTTGTATTTATTTATTTATTTATTTATTTACTTATTTATTCATTCAAGTTGTGTAATTCAGTAGCGAAGTGGTAAAGGGAGATGAGTCAATTTTGACTATTGACCAGTTTTCAATCAATATCTCGGAATCCAAGGGAGATAGCAAAATTTTTGTTATAACCTTTTTTATGGAGCCGACTGAGTGCTACAACAAATATTACTACGAAAATTTCGCTATCTCCCTTAGATTCGGAAATATTCCTCAAAAACTCAACTGGGAGGTAAGTCCAGTTATCTTCATTTACCACTTCACTACTGAATTGTATGATTGAATTTTCATACTGTTTTGTAACTCGTCTTTATACAAATTTTATTCATTTAAGCTTCTACATTGCATTTATCGTTTTTAAAAATGAGGGATTTTAATGGGATTTTGCAGGAGACGTCGCGAGAATGTCAATTAATGGGCAATTAACAATAAATGTTCACGAGAAGAAATTTTTTGTCAAAATTACTGGTGCTACTTCAAGAATTTTATTTGACAAGGAGAAAGTGACAGAAACGAAATTCCGAATGTTTCAGGAATTTCATTCGTGTTTTTCTCACTTTCGTCTATTTATTTTTAGTGTCTCATCAAGTTGGGATTAACGTTTTACAGTTTCATAGTTCTATTCATAATTTAGCAGCCTTTCTAATGCACAAGTTCATTCAAATCCCATCGTGTGAATTTTATTCAATATTTTACGAATTTTTCCTGGTAATTCCAGGTGACGTTTTCCATCAGATCGAGAAATCTCTTCGCGCATTTCCCTCGACAAACCGCGAATAGAATCCGCCTTAAAAATGCAGGGAATGTAAAAAGGAAGCATCAAATATTTCTTCCGGACATTTTCGGAATTAGAAAAAATTGTCACTCAATGAACGGTGCAAAATTCTTGAATGAAAAATTCTAAATTTAAACAATGTAAAATCAATATTTTTGTTTTTAATTTTAATGGAGTTTTCAAATAAATTCCGTTGGAAATCGAAATTGGTGGGAAAAAAATCGAGGTTAATATGAAATAGTTAAAATGGGGGTAAAATAAAATAGTCAACAGTTCAACAGCTTTTCTAATGTACAAGTTCATTCACATCCTATCGTGTTAATTTTATTCAATATTTCACGAATTTTTACTAGCAATTCTAGGTGACATTTTCTCAAATCTCTTCCTGCATTTTCCTCGCCAAACCACGAATAGAATTCACCTTAAATTGCAGGGAATGTAAAAAGGAAGCATCAAACATTTCCCCCGGACATTTACAGAATTAGAAAAAATTCTCCCCCAAAATTATAGAATGAAAAATTCTAGATTAAAAAAATGTGAAATGAATGTGTTTGTTCTCGATTTGAATTGAGTTTTCAAATAAATTCCCTCGGAGATAACAAACCGAGTGAAAAGTCTGAATCCCTCATCTTTTTCTCGCCCCGGTTAATGATATATACGTCGCCAAGGATCTAACTTTAGGAGATTTCTGTCTGGTGTTCGGTTAATTGTATTACCCGAATGCCAAGTGATGGGATCCAACCGGAGGCATCGCGAGGGGTCTAGAGTCATCTGCTTATCGATGCACGGATAAAATGACGCAGCTCTCTCTCCTCGTCCGTCGCTGCACCACAACGCACCATTTTGATCGTCTTGTCTCTTCCGCCCGACATGTTTCAGTAATTGATTTATGTGCAGTCTGTCTTCTTCATGATCAATCTGACGGGGTTTCCATCACTGCCGCACGTTTCAAAGTCAATATTATCCTCGGTGGAGGTTTTCACGGGCTTTTAGTTACACTTTCGGGGGGGTCACTTGGCGTGAAGGTCAATTCTTCAAGATCATGATGCATGACTGCTGAGGTTATTGAATTTGGATTGAGTTTCGTAATTATGAAAGTATGTTGAGAATCGTTGATTGGAGCTTCTATTAAAGCACGTTTGCACGGAGAGAAATTTTCTTGAAAAATTCTAGTACGAGTACTGGAAAAAATTACAATCCACCGGCTGTGAAGAATTCTAGTGCTATTAAGGTGAAATTTCTTGGTATTTCTGGTAAAATTTCTCGGGATTTTTGTGAAATTTTCACAGAATTGAATTAATTAAATTGAATTGAATTAATTGATTTTTTTCGTGGATTTTGAATTTTCAATGCCTAAATTCCCTGGAATTCCAGTGGAAATATGTGATAAAAATTCCCGAGAAGTGTCCCGGAAATTCCATCCAAAAATCTTAAAAAGCGCCGCTTGCTTTTGATCATAAAAGCCTTTAATTCAATTTGTCGCTGAAGATTGAACTTTTTACGGCGAATCAATTTTACGACTCTATAAACCGACCGATGAACAACCCGAAGTAATCTATTGGATTTTATACCCGAAACTCCATACCCGTGAATCAGGATCCGTCCTCACTCTTGGGAACAATTGGAAAACACAATTTCACACGTGTAATGCAGTTCACTGTATTAAATCATTGAAAATCGTGAGTACGAGGTAATGAATTTCCCCGCATGCCCAACGATAATGAAATAATAAATATCCAGCCATTGAGACAGGTTCGTTCGACGAAGCCATAAGTGCTCAACACACCGGCATATTCATAGCCCCTCACTTGCCAAATTTTTACATTAATTCGATCAAAACTTTGTTAACTCCCACTCAAATATTGTAATTACATTCATGCAGTGGATTGATAATATTTACGTTAATTGATTGTTTGTTGAAATCCTGGTGGGTTCATTGCTATTTGATGGGTTTCAGTGATGCTGGGGTGGCG